ACACTATTTTTAGTTTGCAAGAATGATGTTCTCAGAGATTCCTCAGAGAATAGCTCAGGAATATAAAATAAAATTTATGTACTGAGATGAAAGCCAATGCTTGTACTTTATATGAAGCTGTTAAATGTCAGAGAATTAAAGAACCTTTAAAAATACAAATAGTACAATGCCACTGGCAACTTAACAGCACTAGGTTTAGTTCTGTAGTTCATAACTTTCTTACTTTTCAAGGCCTCCTGCTTGTCTCTCTCTCTCTCTCTCTCTCTCTCTCTCTGTGCACCTATTCTCACACCCATGCACCTCCTTAACACACTAAATTATACAAATCTTTCCTTGTCTTGATAGTTGGTGCCTGAAGCTAATGTGGTGGATTCCTCTTTTATTGAAGTTCCTCCAGATTCCTGGAGTTCCTTCTTTGGGGCTCTTAAACCATGTTAGGGTCCAATATGACCTTTGTAAACAATGCCTGAAAAGCTTTCTTTGTTTAGTTACGACTGATTCACATGACCTTTTCAAATACATTTATGCTAACCTATGCTGACTCTTCAGTAGATTTGCACATATCAATATAGTCGTGTATAATATTCACAGCATGTCCAGAGAGCAAGTCAACTGATTGGGGTGTGTGTGTGTTGAAAAGTGAATTCCCGCAGCACGTATTGAATCCCAAAGTGACTATGTATTGAATAAGATGTGTGCAAATCTACTGGGGAAAAGCGAATGTGTCTTCTGAACAGAAGGTGATAAATTATAAGGGGATGTAGCCACATGGATACATTGAAAGCAACGACCTGTTTTATTTATCTTTTACCATGTATTCATATAAGGATCTGTGTAGATTTAATTACAGAATTGGTGCTGGAATAAGGAAGAAAACACGAACAAGGTGTCAGACAAGTTTAGAGTGTAGAAATTTGTAGCTTTTAAATTTATGGTTTTTTGGCGGACTTCCCCTCCATGCAATAAATCTGCTTTGAAAGGACTAACTGTGCCTAGAGAAGAAGGCAGAAGATGCCTCACTCACGTGCTTTCTGGATCTAATATTAAGGCAGGCTAGAATTTGAACTTGTCTACATTTTAACATGTATTTGTCACAAAACTTAATTTGTTATTCTCTTAATAAATATACTATATACCACTTGAGATTGCTGCAGCAAGGCAAAACAGATGCACACATAATGAATCTAGCTCTCTGGGAAATATAATTGCTAAGTAAACAGTGTAATGTTCTACTCCTCCCTTTAAAGCCTCCCTCAATGGAACTTCTTCTCTCATCAGGCAAGATCCCAAAATGATGTGATCAAGTAGACTGGCCAAAAGAACAGGCATAAACAATTTGTCATATGTCCATTCTCTGAATAGTTGTAAGGTTTTATAAGGGAGGAAATTAGAGGGCGTATTCACACAGTCCTAAATTACAGAATCAATACAGTGCACATGGGAATGGCTGCTTCAGGCTACAACAGGTCACACATATGTGGAAAATATGGGTTTACAAACATGCTGCATCACTGTGACTTAATGAAACAGGCTTGGGGTTAATAGAAACATCTGCTACAACCCACTTTACTACAGTTTAGTGCAGGGATGAGAGAACCTGCAGCCCTCCAGGTATAGTTGGATTACAACTCCCATAATTCCTGATTACTGACCATGCTAATTGGGATGGGTGGGAAGGCCACAACTTCCCCCATCCCTGATACAGTGTCAAATAAGGAATCCTAACCAGGCAGGCACATATGTTTTGCTGAAGCTTTGTAGATTAAATAATGCTGCCAGAATTTTCCAATGAGGGTTAAGAAGACACAGGAATCACAGAAAGTTGAAGACAACCGAGCATTGATTGAAGAAGGAAATTTCTGGAGTGGAAAATTGGCCAGCTAGTCTCTAAAAGCCTGTCCTGAGTATCAGTCCAGAGCTTCACACCCTTTAGTGCCCTTTGGCATCACTCAAAGGTGACACACAAGACCACTAATCCCCCTGAACCTCAGCTACTGATGCTGGGCTTCAATATCAATTAGGTGTGACTTAGAACTTTATAGCCCTCATAGGTTTTTCTCATACATGGCAGAGCTCTACATGCATGGAAGAGACTCTTCTACAGATGTAACCAGAGTTTTTTTCTTTTAAAAAATGTTTAGGGGTACTCTCATTTTGACTCAAGAAAATCATCATTTTATAGTTCAAATCGGGAAAAATAAATACAGTAAATGGGCAAAAGTACAAAGATGTTTAGGGTTATGCATCCCCCTGCTTCCGCCAAGGAAAAAAGCAGAGGATGTAATCACAACACACGGAGAACAGGGGCACAATGGTGGGGGTGAGGCTAGTGAGGGTGGCTGTTTTCCTGCTTGGTGCAATTATTATTGTTATGAGAGCTACATGTCGCAGAAGGGCTGTTGTCCTGGGAAGAGAGTTACCTGGCCAAGGCTTAGATTTTAGGCTCTTCTGCCCAGCTTCTGCAGGGCTGGGGGAATCTGGTTTAGCTATCTGCCCTTGGAGATGGACTGAATGACATTCCTGAATAGAATTTACCAGTTCATTTATTCATAAGAAAGTTGTAACCTGCTTTACAATAGGAAAGAACCATCTCAGGGTAGCATTTAAATCACTACAATCTAGACAATAAATAACAGCAAAAATAAAGCAGGGGAAAAACAGTAGAGGCAGAAAAACACCACACACACACAGAGAGAGGGAGAGAGAGAGAGAGAGAGAGAGAGAGAGAGAGAGAGTTTTTTTAAAAAAGACTTGGGGAAAATAAAAAGACCAGAAAGACATAAGATCAGGTGCCAGATAAGCCTCCCTGGGGAATGAGTTTCATAAACAGGACTTCATAGTGGAGTGAGCCCTCAACTCTTGCCATCTGTCTAAATTCAGTAGGTGGAGACCCAGAAAAGCCAGTCCTTCTAGTACCAGGCTACACAAGCACTTTAAGGTAAGCACCACTTGTCTGAATTGTGCTAGGAAACATACCAGTAAAACAGATTCAGGACTGGTAGATGTTCTCTAAAGTTGGTTTCATTTAGCTGAAGTCTAAACTACTGAGGCATCTTCAAAAGCAGGCCCATATTACTGTGGTCAGGCATTCTCTGTTCAGGAAGGATTGTAGCTGGTGCAATGGCCTTAGCTGATGGAAGGTGCTACATGCTGCAAAGGCCTCATGGACCACAATTACAAAGCTGGATCCATCCGTAAACCCAGTGATTTTATAATTAATTGAAACATGAATTATTGGTTTTAAATAATTGAAACATTAAATTTAATTTAATTGACACATTAAATATTAGTTTTAAACAAATAGGAATGCTGCCATTTAATTTGATCCTAAACCTTTAATGAAATTTTAAAATACTACAAGCCAGTGTGGTGTAGTGGTTAAGAGCGGTAGTCTCGTAATCTGGGGAACCGGGTTTGAGTCTCCGCTCCTCCACATGCAGCTGCTGGGTGACCTTGGGCCAGTCACACTTCTTTGAAGTCTCTCAGCCCCACTCACCTCACAGAGTGTTTGTTGTGGGGGAGGAAGGGAAAAGGAGATTGTTAGCCGCTTTGAGACTCCTGAAGGGGAGTGAAAGGCGGGATATCAAATCCAAACTCTATATCATTAAATATTAGCATTGGATTGGGACTGTTTTAAGAAACTGTCCATTCTTCTTAGTCACATATATAGAAAAAACAAGTAAGTTTACACCTCTTCTGAAGCATAGCATGAAGTGGGGGGCATGGCAAGAGGTTTAGAGATCTTTTAACTGCCATTGCAAAACCCAAAATATATTTTTTGAGTTTGCAGTAAGAGTCCAACACAAAGATTGCTGCAACATAGCACTGCCCAAGAACATCATAAATATATTGTGTGATAATATTATGAATAGCTTTTAGGTCTCATAAATAAGACATTCCAGCTATTTTAGTGAGCAGACACAAAGAGAGCGGTTCTGGACTACGTCTTACTGCCAAAGAGAAAGGGGGAGAAAAGGCTTTCAGAAGAGACGCATCTTGCATAAGCACAACCTGGCTTGCAGACTTGTCCCTCACTCTCATCCATTCCACTAATAGCAGCCCAGCTACATTAGGACGCCTGCCAGGAAGCGGTAAAGAAACCTGTCGATAAACCTGTGCATAGAATTGCTACCTAAAAGCCTTACTCCAATATAAGCGTACTTTAGAGTCGCAACCTTAATTTTTTAAAATGTTGCTTTATTGTTTATGGTTCATTGTGTTACATCATCAATATGTGTATGACATTTAGCTAAGTTTCTCCTTTCTATCAGGGTCGCATGTAGCAATGTTGGATCAGTGTCTGGAGACTGTACTGGGCTGGATGATTTGAATTTTAAACGTTATTGTACTCTTTAAAGTGCAAGTAGATAAATAGGTACCGCTCCGGCGGGAAGGTAAACGGTGTTTCCGTGTGCTGCTCTGGTTCGCCAGAAGCGGCTTAGTCATGCTGGCCACAAGACCCGGAAGCTGAATGCCAGCTCCCTTGGCCAATAAAGCGAGATGAGCGCCACAACCCTAGAGTCGGCCACGAGTGGACCTAATGGTCAGGGGTCCCTTTACCTTTACTCTTTAAAGTATTGTTGTCTTGTCTTTTTGTAAACCGTTTTGAGGATTTTAAAAAAATAATCAAGCGGTGTATAAATTTTGTGAAACAAATAATAAACAATAATTTATTTGTTTCGTAAAATTTATATAGACAGCTTGACTGTAAAGCAAACAAGGCCTCCTCCAAGACAGGAGAATCGAGGCGCCTGTCTCGGAATAAAACCATTTGAGAAGGGCGGGCAACCCCCCCCCCCCCGCACCGGGAAAAGGCTCGCGGGGTCTTTTGTCGCTCCTGGACGCGAAGCCACGTCCGCCCAAGCCGAGCTGGCAGCCAAGGAGAAGCGCCGGGCTTCTGCCGCGAACTAAGGCCGCCGAAAGGCCCGCCCTCCTGGCCTGGCCTGCTTTCTGATTGGCGGCGTCGCGCAGGCGGCGCTGCCCTTCAAGGCCTGCGGAGAGGGCGCTTCCGTTCGCGAGGGGCCCGGAGGCCGCGCTGTCGTTTTGCCTCAGCCGCTCCTCGTCCTCCTGCGGCCCCTTTGCCGGAGCCCCGAGCTGCCTAGGAAACACGCCGTTGAGACACACAGTATAGATAAGATAAATCTATTTCCCACCACAAGCAGTGCCTCCCCCGCCCGCCCCGCCCTCAGGAAATAAGTGAAACTTGGAAAAGGGGCGGAAAGGAGGTAACGACTATCGACCGGCTTCGACCAGAGCGGGGTCGGGGGGTCTCCGCCGCCATTGCCCCTCCCTCCGCGGATGGCGCCTCCCCGTCACGCAGCTCCCGTCTTCGGGGGAGGCGGCGGCGGGCATCGTGGGCGTGTGGTGCTGCCCGCCATGGCGGGTTCTTCTGCGGCTGCAAATGCCGAGGCGGCGCCTTCGGGGGGGGGGGATTTGGGTCGGTGGGTCGGGAAGCGGCCTCGGGCGCCAAGGTTGCTCCCGCCGCGGCCCTCCCTCCTCCCCCCGCCATTTCCCCTTCCCCGTCCGTGGGGAGCCCCGAGAAGCGGGTGTGGCGCTTGCCCTGCGTGGCCCCCGCCTTGGCAGAGGCGGCCTTGAAGGTCCTGCCCCGGGGGGAGGGCGCCGCCGAGAACGGAGCTCTTCCTTTTCCAGGGAATTCTAGCGGGGGCGGGGGGGGTTGGTGCTCCGCAATTATGGCGCCGGGCACGTCCCCCCCCCCGAGACGCACAACAGCAGCCCCGCCACACACGTGTCTCGAAGTCCAGAGGGTTCAAGTGAGCCAAGTCTGACTGTCGCCTCCGGGACGTGGGGAGCCAGAGAAAATGGGCAGCATGTCTGCGCCCTGCGCTGAGCCAGTGCGAGGAAGGCATTGCGCACCGCGGGGGAGGAAGCCGGCGGGTTTGCCTCGGCTCAACCAAGCCCGCCCGTGGCACTTTCGCAGGAGCTTTGCAGTCGGTCCTTTTTTAAAATTCAGGACACGTGGCCTTACTGTAAAACAATGTCAACCTCTGCGGGGCTTCCTCCGGAGTAAAGACAAGACCCCCTTCCCCCCCCATGATAAAATGTCCGTCCAACTCCTCTAGGATATATAGGAGAGAGGGGGGAGCTGGACGGACATTTTCCCGTGTGTGTTTTTGTCTTTTACTCAGGCGCCCACCCGCAGATTCTAAAAGCGCAACTCCCATCCAGGGAAGCAGGGCTTTAAGGGGACAGGAGTAAACGCGCCACATTGGGAAAAAGCAGGCTTGCTATTCGAAGATGTCCCTTGAAACTCGGGGGCGGGCAGGCAGGCAGGCGGAGTTGCCGGGCATCCATGCCTCTTGCTCCCCCAGCCACCCGCTGGCACGCGGAGAAGAGGAGCCGAGCCTCCTAGATTCGCAGCAGCCCTTCGGAACAGGAAGGGGCGCCAGGCCGGCTTGGCGGGGCGCTCCTGGCCCGAAGCCGGAAGGGGAGATTCCCCCCGGGGAGCCGCGAGTCAGAGAGGCTGGGGAGGCGCCCGGCCTTCCGCGGGGAAAGGGGCGGGCGAAAGGGTGGCGAGACACAGTTTTAGGCCCGCCTCTTTCATTGAGGAAATTTAAATTCTTTGTGGTTTTTCCCTCTTAACCAGCTTGCCCTATTCATTTATTTCCGAGGGCAGATGTAGAGAAGGATCGGGGAAATCGGGCACGACAGGAAATTTACGTGAAAATTCTTTTAGCGGTTTTTTGCGGGGGAGTGGGGTAGTTTATTTTGGTTTTTAATATATATATTTTTAACCTATTCTCGATGCTTTTAAACTGAGCTACACGAAGCAGGGCGGCAAGGACAAACAACAACAACAACCTCCCAAACCAACCTTCCTATTTTTCCGAGCGTTTCTTGTAATTTTGTGGGGAGAAGCGTATCTTAAATATTTTCTATATTTATAAAACAAGAGTATCCCCCCATAAAGCTCTAAAATGTCGTCATTTGCAAAAGGTAGGAATTACTTAGTTCTTCTTTAAAGCTGCATGATGCCCGGGGTTCTGTGTGTTTTTAAATAAAACAGCTATTTTTCACAAGCAGAGGCTGCAGAAATGCAGTGGTGATGGGTGGTAAAAGGAGGGGGCTTGAAAGAGAGTCTCATTGGGTTAATTAAGCATATCTTCTAGTTGTTGCTCGGGTGACAGCGGAGCACTGCCGCTTTCTCTCAGCTGATTCTTTTAGCTTGGGTGAGAGAGTATGTAGGCTTTCTTTTTCTCTTCTTTCAATACATAACACTGCAAAACCGGACTGAAGTATCTTGTAGCCGCTGCCTCTGAATCTGGCAAATTGCAGGTGGGGTCTGTAACTGGGTCCGTCCAGATTTGTTGCCTGGCCTTTCTGTCCACAACAGTCAGTGGTCTTTAAACCTTTATCTACATGTCTTGTGGTTTGGTGTAATAGTTTCTGGTGAATTATAGCGTGAGATTTTTCTGGTAAGGTATGGCTGTCTCATTCCACGGGTTCTGTGTAAGTGGTTTAATTCTCGGAGACATATTGCGAAATTTGGAAAAGTCCGTAAGAAGACATTTCAGGAAGCCTGATGACTGATACATTTATTTTCTTTGAAAAAAAGGATTCTTGCAACAGTGTGAATTATTTTAAATTAAAAGTTTGTGCCCTTTTGTATGCCAGAAAAACTTTATAATTACCTACTTGGAGAAAACAGATCAGATTTTCAGTCCTTATGTGTAAATTGTGCAGAATACAGTACTTTGAACTGAGAGAATATATAAAAAGTCAAGTATTGATTTTTTTGGGGGGGATACTGTAGAATATATAGTATATGAGTGCAGTATGATTATGTCTTGCTTGTAGGCAGACTAATAAGAGAGCTAAGAGCAAGGTTGATTGAACCTGAAAGTCATCTACCTACAGCCAGTCAACTCTGTGCAACAAGGGACGATGAAATGTTCTCCTTATGTGTGCTATTGCACTTTTAAAGCCCAATACTGGAGGAGGCCATTTTGTGTATAAAAAGGGGAGGTTGCTTATGTTTCTCAAAGTGTCAGTTTTATTAGGTTAAAGGTAAATTTAATTGCCTTATTGGAATCGAAACAGTTGTATTTTTAGCATACATTTAAACACTTCAAAATGTCCCCTTCTATGCTTACAACCTGACATGGTATTTCCCAGCCTGCTGGAGATTTCTATCACTATGAGTAGAAGCTGAGGAGTTTATGCGTAACAGCTTCCTATTTTCTTTTGCTGAAATGGTTTCCAACTGTATGCTTGGGTGAAATTGCTTCATGGTACGTCAGATTTTATTCCCTTAAATGCAGAATGGGTGTAGTAGAATACATAAAATGCTGTGAGCTAATTTTAAGAAGGCTAAAATGTAGACTAAATAGACTGAGTGTTAGCTTGATCTGTAGGGAACAGTGCACACTGTTCTCCCATTATATTTGATATTTTAAAAAGATAATTGCTATTTAACATTAAATTACTACAGCATATTGTTTACAGATGAGGTAACAGGCAATGGCCTACACATGACACTTGTGCTGTGTGGCTTAATTCTTTAGCCAGTAAAGTATTCTTAAAACCTGTGTGTTACTGGCTGCATAAATATATCTTGTATGACATGTATTAAAAATCCCTCCTTGGGGCTACTTTGCTCTATGGTAATACCTGTTAACATTTCTGCAAACTAGTTTTTAAAAAGAAACCGTAACCAAGACTCCTGTCTGTGCTGTGAGTTTCTATTCAGGCAAGCCAGGTTTGGCTTGTTTTTCTTGTTTTTTGTTTTGTTTCTAGGACTACTGTTTTATTTCAAGTTTCATACTTAGGGATTATTTTAAGCATTTAGGCCAAGTAATTTGATGGACCGTTAGCTATTAAAACTCAGCTGCACACTTGGATTTAATATTTATTCAGGCAGATAATTGGTAGATGGGTGGGAAAGAATTTAGGATTTTACCCTTATTCATATGATAAAATACCATCAATTCCAAGGGAGAAAGAATGACTGAACTAAATTGCATAGCAAAAACTACATTATGCCAGAACTGTTGTCCTAAATCCTAAGAAGTGTGCAGGTATGGTTTTCATTGCAACATATAAAACATTTGGTATGGTGCTTTAAAAGATCAGTCTCCATAAAACACGGAGCGAATATCCAATGCATATCCTAGTCCCAAAGAGGTCCCATTGAATTCAGTGGAAATTGTCTTGAAATAAAAATCAATAGGAATGGAATATCCTTTTGATTTCAGTGAAGTAGAGCTAAGTGCATGTTTAACCCTCCCACTGAAATGAGAGAGACTTGGGCTGGATCTTGCCTAGTCTTCCTCTAAATTCAATATTCACAGCCAGATGATAACATTTAATTTTTACATGAGCAATTTATTTGGACAGATTATTGGGCCTTAGCTCACATAAGCATGATTTCCAACTGTTTAACCAAACCCTTCTTACTGACTGTGACCCTAATATAAATTTGGGACATGTGTTAATAAGAGTATTGCTAGAAAAAGAGAGAGACCACCTTTCTTCTTGCACTTAACATTTAAATGGCACTTGCCTAACGATCACACTCATCACATTGTTAGTCAACAACTGTCTCTGAATTGTTTAAGAAGGCATGTAATTGGTGGTGTGTTAGCCAGGGCATTTGGGTGTCCCCTAGTTTGTCTTTTATTTCTTGTGTTAATATGGGTTTGTTATTTTTGTAGAAGTCTGTTAGGTGGTATAAGCCTTTGATTTGCCAGGTTTCGAGTAGTAAAATCAGCTGCAACTGGGCCCTTGACAACCTTCGAAAACCTAACAACAAAGGGACGGTATCTGCAGTATACAAAATACTACTCCAAAATCCCACAAACCCCCTATATGTAATAAAAAAACAATGGGGGAACGACATAGGCTATGAGATTAACCCCACCTAATGGACCAGAATGTGGTCTAAACCTTTCAAATCCATATCGGCGAAAAGAAAAGAACTCAATCTGAAACTCACAGGTGGTACCTAACACCACGGAAACTAATGCTAATACAGTGGTACCTCAGGTTACATACGCTTCAGGTTACAGACTCCGCTAACCCAGAAATAGTGCTTCAGGTTAAGAACTTTGCTTCAGGATGAGAACAGAAATCGTGTTCCGGCGGCGTGGTGGCAGCAGGAGGCCCCATTAGCTAAAGTGGTGCTTCAGGTTAAGAACAGTTTCAGGTTAAGTATGGACCTCCAGAACGAATTAAGTACTTAACCTGAGGTACCACTGTAAGCTCAGGAACCTCACCAAAATGCTGGAGAGGATGCACCTCCCCAGGCACATACCTCCACATGTGGTGGGAATGTCCTAAAATCCAAATCTTCTGGACATCAATCATACAAGAAATATGCAAAATAACTAAGCAAATATTAGAAGGCACTCCAGAACTGGCCCTACTAAACATCTTCCAAAACAATAGTGCCCACTCACAACACAAAAACTGCTTTGGAAAATCCTGGTGAATGATTTTCACCAAGAGATGGATGGTGGAGTGCAATCCTGTTACTGCTTCTGGACTCTCAGCAGCTTTTGATACCATCAGCCACGGTATCCATGCTTTGACAAAATGGGACGTTGACTTCCGGTTTCTGCAAATGGCAAAAAGGAGTGCTAGTCTGATCGTCTGACGAACTCGAGCCCCGTGGAAATACAGGGGGAAGCACCAAGGCGAGGTGCACCCCCTTAAAAGTCTTGAGAGGGTTCTCAACGTGTTGAGAGGTCCAGCAGTCTGCAAAAGGGCTCTCCTGCGACCCTCAAACCCCTGTTCTGAGAGGAACGGGGGGGGGACCGGTGATTGAGCCTGCGGACATGGCAGTATTGCAACTCTGCGGGAGCGAAGCCTCAAACTCCCCCCTGCAGCAGAGATCTTGCGAAAACTACATTTAAGCTGACGGAAACATAAAGATGATTAATTATTGGATCTAACTAGGCTGAATTCAGCACTAGACAGAGGAATAAAAAGAAAGTCAGATTTCCAGCCTGTCACCTACACTTTTTTACATTCCAGTGAAACTGTTAGGAGAGGTCATTTGGGGGCTAGAGCAGAGGACAGCTGCATATTCCTGCATTGTACAGGGTTGGACTAGATGATCCTCAGGGTCTCTTCCAACTCTGATTCTATGAAATCACATTTTGTATACAGAAAACACAATATCTTTTGTTTTATCTGCTTATCCCAGGGAGGCAGTAGATACCTTAACCAGGTATTTGGAGGCAGTTGTAGGATAAGGGCAAACAACTTGAAGTTAGTGGAAGACCTCTGATCTGATGAAGGTTTGCAGTCAGTTTTGGACCAGGCTTCCTCCAACACTGCCCCCCGGTATGAAGTTTGGGGTACTCCTTGGTCTGTTGTCACCTATGAAAGCACAGGTGACCTCTATATAGAAGGTCTGCCTTTGACAACAGTTTGGGAACTGGTGCAGAATTAACCCCCCACCCCAAATACTTGTGGGGGCCTGGTGGTTTGATCAGATCACACCAATTTTGCATTAGCTGCATTGTTTTCCCATTTATTTCCAAGTTCAATTTGGTACTGATTCTGACATGTAAACATCAGAATGGTATATAATCTGATGATATGAAGGATTGTGTGTATGTAGGCCCAAGAATGTGACCAGATGCTACGATTGGCCTTTAAAGCCCTGGTCAAGGTCTGTTGTTCAGGTTGATCTGGCTGGTGGGCTTTTGCGATGATGGTGCCATGCTTGTTGAATTTCCGCCCCAGGAACTAATGCCTAGTTCTCTCGCTTGCAGCCTTTAAATGAACACTTTCTATGTTCATTTAATTTTTCATGATAATTTTTCAAATATGATTATTTACACTCCTATGTGCACATAATTGCATTGTACCAAATTATTGTACCAAATTATGTGTACTATGTGCACATAATTGCATTGTACCAAAAAGTTTTGGAATGTCAGTCTCTCTCCTTGTCTTCTGCTATAGTACATTACAGTGGTACCTCAGGTTAAGTACTTAATTCGTTCCGGAGGTCCGTTCTTAACCTGAAACTGTTCTTAACCTGAAGCACCACTTTAGCTAATGGGGCCTCCTGCTGCCACCACGCCGCCGGAGCACGATTTCTGTTCTTATCCTGAAGCAAAGTTCTTAACCTGAAGCACTATTTCTGGGTTAGCGGAGTCTGTAACCTGAAGCGTATGTAACCTGAGGTACCACTGTAATAGCAACACTTTCCTCCCTGGAAAACAAAAGTGGCTATTCCATGCTTATCAGAGGAATTAGAAAGTGCCACATACCTTCTGATCTAATGAAAGCCATTAAGCACGTTAGAGCTATTTCCACATAAAACAAAAGTGCTCTGGGCAATTATTGCAACACCTAGAAATGCCTTTCTGTTGAATCAGGAGTGTTGTAAAATGAAAAGCAAAGTTTGCATGTTGAAACAGACATTTTCATCTGTGGATGATTTTGAACTTTGTTCACAATTTCTATTACAAAAGAAGATGTGTGTTTCAGAATCTCACTTATATTTTTCACTTCAATTTTTTCCCCTAGAGCTGCATTCCCAAACTAATCTTGTGTTTTTTCCCGAGACTACCAATATGTTCAAGGCATTTATGCATTAAAAAGAGGAGTTTGTTTAAAAAATTACCAAAGCAATATAAGGCGAATCAGCACTCTCAGGCTTCATACTAGATGCTGATTTTGTTCTCTGCATGTGTGAAATAAGTGGCTTTAAGAAACAAAGTAAATACAGATGAGAGGGATAGAGCAATTCACTTTTTGTGTTGCTTAGTAATGGCTGAATACCTGGATAAGGGGATGTTTTTAAGGGAGGGAGATAATAACAGACAAATTACGGGAGGCTAACTGTCATGGAGCGTGACAGTTCATGAGCAGGTTTCTATTTTTATATGACATATTTTGTATTGCTAGGCAAATCTGCAATGCTTGGCTATTGAACAGCCCTTGCTTGCAAGATTGCTATTAGTTCTTAGATTTTTATTGATGGCCACATTGTCTGTTATTTCAGTACATACACAAATGGAAGTGCATCCTCTTCCTTTGGTCCATTGATTAATAAAATGGAAGCATGGTGTGACTTTTAATTCTGTAGAAAAGAAATCTGAAACAATACAAAACTGCTTTCTAATGCATTCTTAGTTACCTACACTTTACCACACGAGCGTTTTGTTCCCATCTCTCTACCTCTCTCTGTTTTTTATACAGATTTTAGCAAAGCGATGTCTCAGGCCGGTACATCCCAATTCCAGGAAGCGATTAGACAAGAACTGGAATATTCCATGAAAGTGGAACTGGACCAGATACTTGGTACTGCACCACAGAATGAACTAGAGGTAGGGACTTCAATTATTTAAATGTGCATGAGGGAAGTGCTTTTGGTATGACTTCTAAAAAATGAGAAGAATATTTGAAATTTGGGCAGATGAACATTTTCATGTTAAATTGGTTTAAGTTGCTTTGGGTTGCCTTAGGCAAGATAAAATGACTAACAAATTGAATAAATAATAAATAAATGGAATAAGTTCTAGACCGACATCTTTGGACCTGCTAATCATGTTAAACTTAGGCCTGTTGAGAAACTCTCTTGTTCTTTGGTATGTAGGTTCACAGGACTGTAGTAAAGTACAGTTTTATTTAGAATACAGTCTCTAGTATATTGCTTTTCATTTTGTTGAAACTAATGGTGTCTTAAGACTGGATCAGCTGATACATTTGCCCAAACTGTGTGATGACAGAGTGTGCTTTTTCTGCCCAGTCACTTGGGACATTTCCCTCACTCTGACATTGCAGACATCTGTGCTTGGATATTATGAGACATCAGTAGGACATTGTTGGATGTTACACAGTGGAAAATCCCAAGATGACTACAAGCTCTACATGTATAACTTGCATAACTGGGTGGATGGGCAACAAGTAGCAGATGAGAACCAGTGTAAGTGCAGACTGATGCATTTGGGGACAAGTTTCCCAGCTTCACATGCACAGGATCTAATTAGCTGTAACTACCCTGTGAAGCTCACTGAAGTGAAAACAAAGCAAATTCCAGATTTCAAATTAGATAAGGGACTGGAAATTAAAACAGCAAGTATTAGAATATTATACAAATCAGAGATGCAGTTAATTTAGTATATTATGTGTAGTTCAGGTAGTTGGTTGTATTTTCAAAAAGGATGATGTACAGCTAGTAAAGGCCATCTAAAATAAATATGGAATTAGAGAGCTTTTCTTGCCAGGAAAGGCTAAGGTGGCTGGGACTTCATAGTTTAGAGAAAATACTCCTAAGAGAAGAAGTTACATCTTTGAACTTAGTAAAGAAACTCTTTTTTTTAATTTCTAAGAAATCTTTGCAACACCCTTGTAACATAATCTAGAAGTGCATTCAAACCATAATACAGTGAACAAATTTGCCCTTGCTTTTATTTAAAAATTATAAACTGCTTGACTCTTAAGAAAAAAACACAAAGTGGTTTGATGTCTTGTGAGCTGCCTCCCTCCTGCCATGAGGTGGTGAAAGTGACTTTTTCTCCCTTGAAAACTACCCAGAGCTAAAGAGGAAAGTTGGAAGAGTGACACTCATTTCCTCTTTTAACTTACATGTGCTTTTCAGGGCTCAGAATTATTCTGCTGGATCCATCTTTTACCCAGTTATATTGGGAAAACAAAGTATTTGTGCGCTTTCTGTCTCTCTTGGGGAGGGGAGAGAAGTAACCAGATGTGGCGATGCCCATGGCACTTGCTCAAAAATGCATGTCTGTTCATGGGTGTATAAAGATTGTTGACCACTCTCATAATTAAGTAAAATTAAAAAACATTAACAAAATGTGAAATGGAACAAAAACCCCTTGACCACCATCCTAAAAGGAAAACGTGAGTTGGGACTGCTATAACCATCATTGGGGGAAGGGTCCCACAATTAAGGCACTCCCATAAAAAAGGAGTGGTGTGACATTTATGAAAGATTAGAAGTGAGAATGGAGCATTTGTTTCTTGACAAAACTAATAATTGACATGGAATTCCCTAAAAGATGTGATGGGTACTAGGTGAGATAGCTTTAAAGAAGGAATAGACAAGTGTATTAATGTTGGGTTTATCAACAGCTATTGGAATCTGGTTATACCTCTGAGTCTCAAAGTTTCTTGAAAGTTTGATGGAAGAGAACCCACCAGTCTCTTTTCCATTATAGGGTCTGTTTAATTTAATGGGAATTGTAAAGAAACTTGGTTTCACTGGGGCTTGCATTGGAGTTAATAGACACTTGTGCTCTTGGCTAATACTACTTTTTAAAAATTTGCCCTCTCATGTCTTCTTTCAGCACACCAAGAAAGATCTAGAAGGGTTTAAAAAGCTCTTTCACAGATTCTTACAAGAAAAGGGACCTTCTGTGGACTGGGAAAAGATCCAGAGGCCTCCAGAAGATTCTGTAAGTTGCAACATTATGTGAATAACCCCACTGCAGTGGATTTTGTTTGTTTTGTGACTCCTCACCCTTTGCTTGCTGAATGGGCTGTAAAACCTTCCAGCAACCAAGTTTCCACCAACCAGTGTTCTTCCTCTACATGCTACATTGAAGTCAATAAATCGCATGACACACCAGCAGCTCACTATCCTCAAGATGTGAGGTGGTCTCCATCAATTAAGAGATCGTAGCCAATATTGGCAACTGACCCCTGGGTGGTGGAGATTGTTTCCAAAGCTTTCCTCCTCCTCCGCTGACAGCACCTCTCCCAACTGCGGCTCCTGTGCCTGCCCTTGCGAGAGGCGGGCTGCAGCGGTGGGACCAGCAGCGAGAAAGGGCTCCTTTCGGGCCGCTCGTCCCGCCACCGCTGCCCGCCTCACTGAAGTACCGTATTTTTCGCCCTATAGGATGCACCGGCCCATAGGACGCACCTAGATTTTGGGGGGGAGAAATAAAGGGAAAAAAATTATTTTCCCCCCCCAGGCGCAGGGCTGGGGCGGGGGAAGCCCGAGCTTCCCCTGACCCCAGCCCCCAGAACGGGACCCAGAGTGATGCTGAAGAGGGGAGGGTGAAGTGTGGGAGCTGAGACCACCTGCTGCTTATTCTCGTCAGGATAAACCATGATTTAATCTCCGCAACAGGGTGAGCTCCCGTTGCTCGGTCCCTGCTCCTGCCAACCTAGCAGTTTGAAAGCACGTCCAAGTGCAAGTAGATAAATAGGTACCGCTCCGGCGGGAAGGCAAACAGCATTTCTGTGTGCTGCTCTGGTTCGCCAGAAACGGCTTAGTCATGATGGCCACTTGACCCGGAAGCTGTACGCCGGCTCCCCCAGAGTCGTCCACGACTGGACCTAACAGTCAGGGGTCTCTTTACCTTTACATTTATGTTGTACGTCAAAGGTACTGTTATAATGAAATTTTGTGTCTTAGATGTGACTTTAAATAAAAACAAACATGTGCAATTGAATATCTCTAATCTCAATGTTAACTTTTTAAAAAACAACAACTTTGTTTTGAATCTTTATTCTGGCAGTGGGAAAGATAGATGGATCCTAACCTCATTTGAATAGTATGGACCATGAAGTCATATGCAACTATGGCTTGTTTTCAGCCTGAAACTACTTTATCAGACATGTAATTTTAAAAGCTGTGATCTGCTTCACTGAGCTTTACCAGTTATAATTCATTTTGAGATAGTCACAATCATGTGCATTACAAGCCAAAATGGTGTGTCAGTTGAAACCTGCAGAGTATTTGAAACAGCTGTTTTGGTTCTTGTCTTGCTCTGAATGCTTCACAGTGACCTCATTTATCTCTTTGGATTCATAGCCTCCCCTTCACCATAATTCAGTAAAATGATTTTAATAAAAATTAAAAGAACAGTTAAAGCCAGCAATGCTACTACAAACCCAAAATTTAAAAAAAGAAACATAGGTGTTAAAAGATTAGAAAAGGGAAGGTCACACAAATGGAAAAACATGGAAGTTTGCAGTGAAAAATCAAACTATACTTAACAATAAATGGTTATTGATTGCTTTTATTGAAGCCTGGGGCCAGGAAAGGTACTTTGTGATTGAATTGCTAAGGGGTAGGGTGAAAATTTCATCTAGTATCTAACATTATTGTTAACAAACTCTTTAAAGCTTGTCTTTAAAGTTTTACTATAAAGTTTTCAATAAGAGAATTGGCAAATGTGAAGTAGCTACAGTGAGTAAAATTATGAAACCCTAAAAAATTAACATGCTTATGATACAGACAGGCGACACTCTTACACGTCTGTTAGTGTATCTGAACAATTAACACACATAGTAGCCAATAAACTAGTAGAAATTGAAAATGACACACTTGAAAAACAACTTATCTTTGTGGAGTGGAAGTTATTACTCCCAGCTTAAAATACAATGAATTGTTAACTTTAACTAGGATGGCATACTGCTAGCAAAGCTAAAATGCGTTTAGACGTATCTTTAGTTTAGAGCCTCCTGCTGATTTAATACTTCTAAAGAATTTCAGATCTGAACAGTAACTTAAACTCTGTTGTATTATTTTTTAAACATACAAGACACTTCAACCATGTAAATAACATGAATAATTCTTAAAATCCATTGTTTTCATTTCAGATACAACCGTATGAGAAGATAAAAGCGAGGGGGTTGCCTGATAGTGTTGCTTCAGTCTTAAACAAGCTGGTTGTAGTGAAACTGAATGGTGGTTTGGGCACCAGTATGGGGTGTAAAGGCCCCAAAAGTCTTATTGGTGTGCGAAATGAGAATACCTTCTTGGATCTCACAGTTCAGCAGATTGAGGTAACTTGTTATTGTTTTCTCTTCGTTAATAAATCTTTATAGTAGGGGCCTTTAGGTTGCTGCTGAATTATCTCCAACTCCCATCATCCCAGACAGTTGACCATGCAGTCTGGGGCTGATGGGAGCTGGAGCTACCTCTGTTTTATAGAAAATGTGAGTTGTGCAGGCACTATAATTTTTCAGTTATATAGGGTTACTTCCCTGGGACAAATGGTTTATGAAATATTGGTACTCTATCTTGAAAATTTCCCTCCAAGTGTCCAACCAAAATTGATAAGCCTGCTTTGAAAGTGAAAGGCTAGTTTTTTCTTTGTTTTGATGATACGCCTTTTCCAAAGCAATGGACATTGTATTTTGTTAACTTTCTCGTTCATTGTTGATCATGGAAAGCAACAAGGATTTATACTAGTGCTTAAGTTTAATCATCCCCTCTGAAGGAGAGTGATAAAGAGGGCAGCTGCTGAAAATGATTTTGAAGAATTTTGTGGAAATTTGAAGTTTCATATACTTAATTTTTTTTAATACTTTTCAGGTTTATACATTTCACTGATTTTCAATCATGTTGACATTTCAAAACTTGACTTCCTTTCCCTTCTTTCTGTGATTCCTTAAATTTATTTTTAATATCTTCTGCATATCCTAATTAACTTAATTTGCTCATTTATTCATCTTCTTTAAATATATACTCTTTTGAAACTGCAGGTTATTACAATAATCCTGTCAATGTTCTTATCTGTTTACAATTTATCTGTAAATATTCAATAAACCATTTCCATTCTTTTATAAAAAGTTTCTTATCTTGATTTCTTATTTTTCTGGTAAGTTTCGCCATTTCTGCATATTCCATAAGTTTTTGTATTTATTCTTCCTTTGCTGGGACTTCTACTTCTTTCCATTTTAGGGCAAGTAACATTCTTGCCACTGTAGTCACCTACATGAATAAGTTTCTATACAATTTAGATAGTTCCGTCCCTATTATTCCCAAGAGAAAAGCTTCTGGGTTTTTTACGAACGTTATTTTAAACACCCTTTTCATTTCATTATATATCATTTCTCAGTAAGCCTTACTACAAAACCACCACAAATGATAAAAAGAACCTTCTTTCTCTTTACATTTCCAACACTTATTTGATTTAGATTTGTACATTTAAATCGGTTTACTCGGTGTTAGATACCATAGATACATCATTTTCATATAATTTTCTCTAAAACCATAACATGCTGTAATTTTTATATCCGTATTCCACAATTGTTCCCATGCTTCCATGTCTATATTATGACCAGTATCTATTGCCCAATGTATCATTGAAGATTTTACTTGCTTGTCCTTTGTCTCCTATTCCAATTTTACACATTATAGACAGCACTTTTATATTATATTCCAACAGATCTCTCTCCAGTTGGGATATTTGTTCCCCAAATCCTCATATCCTGTTATTCTTAAATACTTCATTCAAATGATGATATTGTATCCATGTTGTTAATTCCTTAAATTATTCCTTAAATTATTTTAATTGATACCCTCTTGTTTTAATAAATTTCTATAAGTTGTCCAGGGATGCGGGTGGCGCTGTGGGTTAAACTACAGAGCCTAGGACTTGCTGATCAGAAGGTCAGTGGTTTGAATCCCCATGACGGGGTGGGCTCCCGTTGCTCGGTCCCTGCTCCTGCCAACCTAGCAGTTCGAAAGCATGTCCAAGTGCAAGTAGATAAATAGGTACCGCTCTGGCGGGAAGGTAAACGACGTTTTCGTGCACTGCTCTGGTTTGCCAGAAACATCTTAGTCCTGCTGGCCACATGACCCGGAAGCTGTACGCCGGCTCCCTTGGCCAATAAAGCGAGATGAACACCGCAACCTCAGAGTCGGCCACGACTGGACCTAATGGTCAGGGGTCCCTTTACCTTTATAAGTTGTCCACCCTTCTATCATTTTTTTTTCTTTACCTCTATAGCTTCCAACAGTGAGAGCCAAAGTAGTATTTTAACTCTAATAAATTATTATATTTTTCCCATATTCTATACATATTTTTCCCATACTCTATACACATTTTTCCTAATTATATGATTTGTAAATCCTTTATGAACTTTCACCTCTTCATACCATAAATAAGCATGCCAACCAAAAATATTGTCATGACCTAAGTCTAGAATATGTGAATTCTCTAATGTCATCCATTCCTTCAGTCAACAAAGACAGGATTCCTCATAGTATAGTCTCATATCTGTCAGGGAAAACCTCTTTCTTTTGCATCTATCAATATTTTATATTTTATAGGTTTTTCCCCTTGCCAAATATATTCAGAAATATCCTTTGGCCGACTTCCGAGGGGCGGCGCGAACGGCAATGGCGGTCCTCTTCTGAAAGGGAGAGGAGGCTCCGCAGAAAACGGGTCGTCCGCTACGGCGAAGCGGAGACCCACTCTGGAAAACCCCAGGCAGCAAGAGCTTGGGGTCCTGAGGCTCGGTGGGCGCCTTAAGTGACCCTCCAAACGCAGAAGGAACCTCGTAAGGGGCTCCGGAGCGTGGAGGGGGGTTGCGGCGCTGAGAGCTGCTTCACAGTCTGCGGAGTGAAGCCGCGCTGCTGCTGCCGGTGAGCGCTGATCCTTTTTCCTGCTAAAACACGGATTCGGACGAAAAGCAACTTACTCGTGAGTAAAGACTGAATCACTTGAAATCAGAGACTTTATATGAAAACCTTAAATTGGCTTGAACTTGGCTGAAAGCGGAGAGACGTGGAAACAGGAAGTCCGTCTTCCGCAGCCATTGAACTTGAAAAAAGCAACTAAGTTGGAGGAGTGGAGGCTGAAAGGAAGAGATTTTAAACTTTACAGATCTAAGCATCTACTGAACCTGCAATTTAAAGTAAAGACTTTAAGCTAAAGACTTGGAATTTTAACTTGCACTTTACTTTCACCTTTTATTGGATTACAAATTAGAAGGTGAAACCCAGAGTCAGGAGCTGCCTGAGCATTGAGAAATTGAGCTGTCAGTATTGCAGATTTGGATACTGTATATTGGAACTTGCAACAATCTGAGGGTATTGAGACTTTTTAAATTTGAAACATTCTTTTGGAGACAAATAAGCACTGTCTGTAACAAAGTGACTACTTATAAACTCTGCTAAATATTTATATTTGAAGGTTCTTGGACATTAAATTAGACTCTGAAAGACATTTTAAGCTCCCTCTAGAGGACTGGATGAAAACAGTGACTTTACATTTACATTTACTTTCGATTCCCTTGTTGTTTGCTTGCTCTGGGCCTTTCTATTCCCATGGGAAAAACTCAGTGTGACCTTGACTGATAGACAACGTTGGAATGAGTGGCACAAGGAAAAGAGGGAGAGTTAGACAAACAACTTTAACAACTCTAACCTCAGCCTCGCAGACACGTAGATCATCTGTACCTACTTTGCCCTCAGAAGTAGAACTTGAAGAAGTTGCCTTGCCACAGGCAAAAGAGGGAGAGGGTGAAGCAGAGCAGTTACAATTGGAAGATATGGCCTCAGGAGTATCTGTTTCTGTTCTAGACAAAATCTTTGAAAAATTGGAAGCTTTGGACAAGAAAGTAGATGCGCAATCAGCAAAGATTGACAAAAATACAGAATGTCTAAATAAATTAACCATACAAGTTGTACAGAATACACAAGCAATTGGACAGTTAACGGAGGCCTCAGCAGAAAATCGGAAACTGGCTGAGGATACTAGACAAAAATTGGAAAATTTAGAGCAAGAGGTAAGGCCACTCACCAAACAAGTTGGGGAACATCAGACTTATCTTTCCATGATAGAACTGCGAAATCGTGAGAATAATTTGAGGATTAGATCATTACAAGAGGCAGAAGAAGGAAATTTAACTGAGTTTTTGACCAAAGAAGTTTCCAAGTTCTGGAATTTGGAAGAAAAGGATTTTAAAATTGTGTCGGCTTTCAGACTTGGAAGATTCACAAAGAAGGAGAGGCCCAGAGACTGTTTGATTACATTGAGATCAAAGGAGGAAAGGGATAAGATTTTGGGCCTACATTACGGAAAGTCACTGGAGGTTCTGGACAGAAGAATTGAAATTTATAAAGATATTCCAAGACAACTGCTGGATCTTAGAGCCGCCTATTCTGAACTTGCTAAACTACTAAGGAGCAACGCAATTCCATTTAGGTGGGAATTTCCACAAGGAATATCTTTTACCTTTAAAGGGAGAAAGGTCAAAGTTAGAACATTGGAAGAGAGAGACAAATTTTTGGCTACATACGGAGAGGACCTTCAAAAGGCAGTGAATTACCTTCTGGGCCTGGGGCAAAGCCAGTATCAACACCAGCACCTGGGGAACCTGAAGATCCAGAGAAGACACCACCCCTGGAGAAATAACCAGATAGATCCAGGATGTCTCTGCAATTGCTGAGTTGGAACATTAATGGTTGTAACATTCCGGAAAAAAAAAAGAACAATTGGACATCATCTGTTTACAAGAAACACATGTGACGAGGCTCCACAGAAAAGTGTTAATAAATAAAAGATTGGGCCAGGAATTTGTTTCGTCGGACAAAGTTAAGAAGAGAGGCGTGGTGATATATGCAAAAGAGAGCCTGTCACCTAAATTCTTATTTAAAGATGAACATGGAAGAATTTTGGCCATTGAGATACAATATCAAGGAGAGAAACTGTTGATATTAGGAATCTATGCACCTAACGAAGGGAAATCGGAATTTTACAAGAAGCTGCAGGGGACAATGCTGGAATATCTGGATTACAACAACATCATAATGATGGGAGACATGAACGGGGTCGTGTCAACTAACATGGACAAGTCACAAAGTCAAAATGTTACAAAAGACGGCAGACTACCTTAATCCTTTTTTGAAATGACTGACAATATGGATTTGATTGACATTTGGAGGACAAAGAACCCACTAGGTAGAGAAGGAACATTCTTTTCTGAAGCCCAACTGACCTGGACAAGAATCGACCAAATATGGATTTCCAGAGGCCTGGCACCTAAGGTCAGAAAAGTGGAAATCTGCCCAAAGACCTGCTCTGACCATAATGCAGTAAAGATGGATATGACACTACTACCAACTGGATCCTTTAGATGGAAGATGAATGACAATTTGTTTAGAGATCAGGAAATTACCAAGAAGGCCCAAAAAGTTTTGAAGGACTATTTTGAGATAAATATGAACAATTCGGTGGAAAAAAAGAATTGTCTGGGACGCAAGCAAAGCTGTAATGAGGGGATTCTTGATACAACAGAATGTAGTAAAGAAAAGAACACAAAATGAGAAAAAGATAAAATCTTGGACAAATTAAAAGAATTAGAGAAGAAATTAAGAGCGAATCCAAAGTCACAGCCAACTCTGAGAGAAATTAAACTCTATCAAACACAATATTCTAAATTGATAAATCAGGAAATTGAATGGAAGGTTAAATTAATGAAACAAAAACGTTTGAGTCGGCGAATAAATGTGGAAAACTGCTAGCTTGGCAGTTGAAGAGAAGACAAAGATTAAACACGGTTACAAATTTAGAGGTTGATGGAAAAAACATTCAGAATCCAGTGGATATTAGAAAGTGTTTCCAGAGATATTTTAAAAATTATACACCCAAGGGCCGCAAGACGAAGTTGAGATTAAACAATTTTTGGCAAAAATGGACTATCTAAATTGTCACAAGAAAATAGGACAATCCTGAACTCTAAAATAACACGACAGGAGATTGAACAAGCTATTCAGAACATGCAACTTGGCAAATCTCCAGGGCCAGATGGGCTGACCTCCAAGTATTATAAGATATTAAAAGACTATTTGATACAACCCTTGATGGAGGTCAGCAATGAAATTATCGAGGGAAGAGGGCACCGGATTCGTGGAAGGAAGCGTTCATCACATTAATACCAAAGTCAGAAGCTGAAAAGACACAACTGAAGAACTACCGTCCCATCTCTCTTTTAAATGTGGATTACAAAATATTTGCAGACATTTTGGCAAGTAGATTTAAAAAGTATTAAATGAAGTAATTCATAAGGACCAGGCCGGTTTTCTCCCAGGTAGACATCTGTTTGCTAACACAAGGAACATTATTGACATCTTGGAACTTCTGCAAACAGATATAAATACAAAAGCAGTTTTAATTTTTATAGATGCGGAGAAGGCCTTTGACAATATTTCCTGGAAATTTATGATGGGAAATTTAAAAGAGATGGGAGTGGGACGGGGTTTTGAGAATGGGATTGAGGCGATATATTCAGAACAGAAAGCTAAACTGATAGTTAATAATGTGGTTACAGAAGAGTTTAAAATTGAAAAAGGGACACGACAAGGTTGCCCTATTTCCCTTTGTTATTTATTTCGGTTCTGGAAGTGCTACTGAACATGATTAGAGGGGATCGGTTGGTGGAAGGAATTCAGGTTGGTCAGAAACAATATAAACTAAAAGCTTTTGCAGATGACCTGGTTTTGACCTTGCAGAAGCCAGAGCCCAGTACGAAAAGAGTATTACAATTGATTAATGATTTTGGTCGGGTGGCGGGATTTAAATTAAATAAACAGAAAACTAAGGTTTTGGGGAAAAATTTGACTGATACAGAGTCAGAACGGTTTCAGAATGAGACGGAACTTAATGTGGTTAAAAAGTAAAATACCTAGGGGTAAACATAACAGCAAAAAATCTAAGTCTATTTAAGGATAACTATGAAAAATGTTGGACAGAAATTAAGAGAGACTTAGACAGTTGGTCAAAATTGAAACTTTCTTTGTTAGGCCGAATTGCTGCTATTAAGATGAATGTATTGCCAAGGATGTTGTTTTTATTTCAAACACTTCAGGTTTTGGACAAAACGGAGTGCTTTCAGAAGTGGCAGAGAGATATTTCGAAGTTTGTCTGGCAGGGCAAAAGCCCAGAATCAAGTTTAAGATATTAACTGATGTAAAACAAAGAGGGGCTTTGCCCTGCCGGACTTAAAGTTGTATTATGAAGCCGCAGCGTTCTGCTGGCTAAAAGACTGGCTACTTCTTGAAGACACTGATGTGTTGGACTTGGAAGGGTTTAATAATGTTTTTGGATGGCATGCATATTTATGGTATGACAAAGTTAAAGCAAATAAGGCCTTCAAGAACCATATTGTCAGAAAATCATTGTATAATGTCTGGACAAAATATAAAGACTTGCTGGAAAATAAAACACCAAGGTGGCTTTCACCTTTGGAAGCTAAGGCCCGAAAAAGACCCAATATGGAGGCTAAATGGCCAAAATATTGGGAAATACTAGAAAAGATGGAGACAATTGGAAATTGCAGAGTTTGGAGAAAATGAAAGACAAAGTGCGAGATTGGTTACATTACGCTCAGATTAAAGAAGTTTTTAAAAATGATAAGAAACTAGGGTTCCAGGTGGAGAAATCGAAATTAGAAACAGAATTGTTAGAACCAAAGACTAAGGTACTTTCAAGGATGTATAACTTGCTGTTGGAATGGAATACACAAGATGAAATGGTTAAATCGGCTATGATAAGGTGGGCACAGGACATTGGGTATAATATTATGTTTGAGGACTGGGAAAAGTTGTGGAGTAATGGATTGAAATTTACTGCATGTAACGCTCTGAAAGAAAATGTAATGAAAATGATTTATAGATGGTATATGACCCCAGTTAAACTTGCAAAAATTTACCACCTGTCTGATAATAAGTGTTGGAAATGTAAAGAGTGTGAGGGAACGTTCTTCCACCTCTGGTGGACCTGCCCTAAAGTGAAGGCGTTCTGGGAAATGATTTATAATGAATTGAAAAAGGTATTTAAATATACCTTTACCAAGAAACCAGAGGCTTTCCTTCTGGGTATTGTCAGCCAAGGGGTGGCAAAGAAGGACCAGACATTTTTATGTATGCAACAACAGCAGCAAGGATACTTCTTGCAAAACATTGGAAAACTCAAGATTTACCCACACTGGAAGAATGGCAGATGCAACTGATAGACTACATGGAACTGGCTGAAATGACCGGCAGAATCCGTGACCTGGGAGAAGAGAGAATCGAGGAGGATTGGAAGAAATTTAAGAACTATCTACAAAAATATTGTGATTTGAGTGAATGCTAAATAAGATGCTAGACTAAATAACTGAGCACCACTTAACTTAGAAGTTTTTAAGAAAATAAGTAAGACTGTGAAAGTTTAACTCTTTATGAGAACTATAAGATTATGAAACATTGAAGAGATATAAGAATTTAAATAAGATGATAAATTGCTGACAAAATGTTATAACGATGAAAGTGGGAGCGGGGGATGTGAGGAAGTCCAAAGAAAATGTGAAACTATGTTAAGACAAATGTTATATTGTTTATTACGTTTATTTTTATTGTAAAACCCAATAAATTGCTTTAAATAGAAATATCCTTTGGCCATGTGTTTCAATCTGTCTTGCAATCACCAGAATCGACTGAAACAGAAATACCATTCTTGGTCATACATTCATCTTTATAGTCGACAGTCTACTTAATAGTGAAAGATTAATTCTATTCCAATTTGAAAAAAGTATTTTAATATCTTCCCAGGTTTTTAAATAATTATCTTTATACAAATTTATATTATTTGCTGTTAATCATACACCTAAAATACTTTACCTTTTTTCAGTCTTTAAACCAGATACATCTTGTAATTTGTTTTTACTCTCATCATTCATATTTTTAACCAAGAGTTTGTTTTTAACTTTATGAAGGATTTCATATCATGATGAGGTTTTGGGTTTGTATTGATTATGTCATGTATGACATTAGTCTAAAAAAACTTTTGGAGTAGAGATATTCTCCTGCCATTATTCATCACTTAGCAGATGCATTTTTTCAAAAGGCATTTGAGATGTTTTGCTGTTGACTCTATATGTACTCTGTTCTCTGTTAATTTCAGACTTGGAACATGTTCAGAAATAGGTGGGACACTTGATGTTAGCAAAAAGGAAATGAAGCATATTTTCAATAATATAATATCAAAGAGCGCAGCTGTTGCACTTGGTGGCCACTGTAAATGAAACTGCAAGTTTTTTGTGACAGGCAAGTTTCATGAAGGCTTAGAAAGCTTCAGTATGTGACTGAGATGCTGGCACACGGTTTGCCACCTGTGGTCACAGCAGCTACATGAAGTTGTGTAGCTTATACTTTCAAAATATAAGCAAGCTTGCAGAAACTCATCCTTCTCTACAAATCAGTTCAAAATAGGTTTTGAGTTGGGCTTTCATGTATTATGTTGTAGAATGAGAACTGCTAAGAATTTTTTTTGGGGGGGGGGGGGACCACCAGATTAATTGAGAAGGCATAGTAGAGTGGCAGAAATGCAGGAAATAGTCTGGCTGCTATCATGTCCTTTTTGTAGTATGTGACCTTCCGGGTGTTTTTTACTTGCTTTGTTTTTAAGAAACCCAATCATCATAACTTCTCGTGCATAAAACTACTTACCCAAAAGGTGTAAAATTGAGCAGTTATGTAAAAACAACAACATTAATTAAAAGACAATGAAATTGAGATTCCATTCTTCATTGCAATCATTGCAATTGTTTCTGAGTAGTTACAGTGAAACATTTGAAGAGGGCAGCAGGGAGGGTCAGTGAAGTGCCCACTGTGGATCTAATTCAGAGCAAAATAGATAGTAACTGACTGAGAAGGTCCTCAGAAGTAGATTGAAGTTGTTGGGCTCATTCACATTAGAGGAGGTGATTCCTGAGAAATCTTTGATTCTAGGGCTTTTTTTAGTCTAAAGTCATTGAAGATTATAAAGAACCAGCATGATACGGTCTGGTGTCCTGGCCTAAGCAGAAACCTGATCTCATTACAGTCATACCTCGGGATAAATAGGCTTCAGGTTGAGCCTTTCGGGTTGCGCTCCATGGCGACCTGGAAGTAACGGAGTGCGTTACTTCCGGGTTTGGCCACTTGCACATGCGCAGACGGTCAAAATGACGTCATGCGTGGAAGCGGCGAACCGCGCACGCGCAGATGCGCTGTCGCGTCTTACGATCTGTTCAGGATGCGAACGGGGCTCCAGAACAGATCCCGTTCGCATCCTGAGGTGCCTCTGTATTTCAAATATTTATAATTTGCCCTTTAACAAAGCTCTTAGAGTTGACTAAAATACAAAATGCAAGTCCTAAAAAAAATGAAGCAATCTCAGTCTTTGGGGCAGCAATAAAAAACTAGAAACATATAAAACTGCTTTTGCCATTGGTCCATCTAATTCAATATCGTCTACACTGACGGGGTTTCAGATAAGCGACTCTCCTAGTCCTACCTAGAGATATTGGAACTTGAACCTGGCACCTTCTGCATGCACAGCAGAGGTTCTGTCACTGAGTTGTGGCCCAAACTGAACATACCTTGCCTTTTTTCCCTATGGGGACTCAAGGCATATAAAAATAAGAACTGCTAAAAACATAGAAAAAGCTCATTAAAAAAACTGTTAAACATGGATAGAAGTAAAACAATAAACACATATAAAATCTACTAAAACTAAAACTATACCAATAATTACAATAAAAACATCATGGCACCTGCCTGTTCAACAAAAACAGTCAGTTCCCCAAAGGAGTCTTCACCTGCCAGCAGAAGGACAACCATGAGGGAGCCAATCTAGCTTCTCCCGGGAGGGAGTTCCAGAGTCTGGGAGCAGCCGCTGAGAAGGACCTCTCCTGTGTGCCCACCAAGCATGCCTGTGCGGGGGGGGGGGGGAACCATCAGAAGGGCCTCCTTCCAAGATCTCAGAACCTGGACAGATTTGTATGAGGGAATACAGTATTTCAGATAGCCTGGCCCTAAGACCTTTGGATTGTGCTCAGAAAACCATAACAATATAATACTGAAATCACACTAAAATATTGACACAGTTACTAGTTAGACAGATGCCTAGCAAAAATTAATAAGCAGCCCATCAAATACTACCAAATGCCTGGAAGAAGACTCTTAAATTGATGCTGAAAATATAATACGGTCTATGCTAGGTGGCCCTTAGTAAATGAATTTCTAGTATTTATGGAGGAGGGGACTAGGATATACCCAGGGTTGGAACTCAAGGGAACTCAGTTCCGGTACCTCTCAGTTGGGCGCCATTGCCATTATAAGAGCAGAAGGGAGGCATTTATGGTGAGTTCCAGCATCTGTTTTTCTAGAAAAATAGCAATGGCTATACCTTCCCATGTGCTATAACTATTATATCTACTTTACTGCTTATGTAAATAATGAAACTATGTGACACACAACTGCTTTTTAGATAGATTTTTAGCTTTATTGAAATTGTGTGTGACGGTGGATTGATGTGAAAGTATTTAGCTGGTTAGAGTTACAACATTCTCAATGCTAGCTTAAGCATTTTATAAGCTCCTGCAGAAACTTTGTTTTTATTTCTACCATTTGCATGGAAAGCTGGGGAGACTTTACATTTATTGAAAATAAGATTTAAAAGATGGATATTTCAATTTCCTTCGAAAGGTATTTATTTCTCTGTCTCAAGCTGGGGAACAAACTGTGGCTGTTATGTGTCACAGTTTTCCCTATAGTTATTCTCTTGGGTGGTGACGGCGGCATTGTGTGTGTGTGTGTGTGTGTGTGTGTGTTTTAAGCAGTTCAGTAGGAATCTATTCTGCTAATTTCTTCTGACTTCTGTCCATTGGACCCAAGAATGTATTCTTTGATCATTGTCCTTGAGTAAAAGATGATACAGAGAGTTATTTTAAGATGGCAAAATTAATATAATAATCCAGTAGTTCTTTCCAAATGTTTTTATTTCTTTACAGCATCTAAATAAAACCTACAATACAGATGTTCCTCTGGTTCTAATGAACTCATTCAACACTGATGAAGACACAAAAAAAATATTGCAAAAGTACAGCCACAGCCGTGTGAAAATCTACACTTTCAATCAAAGCAGGTATTGACAGCACTTGGTTTTAGGTCATAAAAGCTACATGACTAGATGCAAGAAAGGCATATTCTGTATATCCATTATATCTTAACCCCTCCCAATTTACTTCGATTTGGGCAATTTGAAACAACTGCTTGAGGTCATTCTCTTCCCTTACCTCTTCCCCTGTATTCTTGCAATGTTGTGGGAACTCACATCACTTTTCACTATGTAGCTTGACCATCCATCTACAGTGTTCGAGGCATTTTTAAGCAGCCCTTGCCCCTATATGTTGATTTTAAATTGTCCTTTGAGATTAAAGGATCAAATTCAGAAGTACACACTTTTTCTGTGAGCAGAAAGTCATAGCCACATGTAGTATAACTAAGTTGTAGCTGATGTTTGGAGTTAATTTATTTAAAGAATTTAAAAACCCACTCTTCAGCAAGAAAAAAGAAAGAAAAAGCTTTCAGAACAGCTTATAGGTCACTACAAACCTATCTCAGCCATTAGGCTTGCAATCTAAAAATGCAAAAAGAAAAGAAAAAAGAATTGGAAGAGAGGAGGAAATAAGCTAACTCAGATACAACTTCTTGGTTAAAAGTTCTTCTAATGACCAGCTGGGGTGAAAGAATTAGATGAGAAGAGGAGCAAAAAGAGTATTTTGGCGTTTTGTTTTTTAGGGGTTTTTGTTGGTGGGGGATATTAATTTTATATGTTCATGTGGAAATTGTTTTAATTTGGTTGTGTGATTTTTTTATTTATTGTTTATTCCTACTTTTGTCATGTTTGTAATTATTTTTTCCTGCATATTGTAAGCTGCATTGAGCATGGTTTAAACTATGGAAAGGCGGCATACAAATGAAATTATGTATGTATGTCTGCAGCTGTGCTGACAGAATTGGGGTTTAGACCCCGTTTTGGCACAGAAACCGCTTTGGTCGCCCTGTATGATGACCTCTGTCGGGAGAGAGACAGAGGAAATGTGTCCCTGTTAATTCTCCTCAACCTCTCAGTGGCTTTTGATACCATTGACTATGGTACCCTTCTGGAGCAACTGTCTGAGTAAGAGGTGGGTGGTTTCTGGTGGTTCCAGTCCTACTTGGATTGTTGTTCCCAGAGGGTGTCACTTGGGGAGTGCTTTTCAGCCATGTGGAGTTCTGCAGGGCTCAACCCTATCCCCTATGCTGTTCAACATCTACATGAAATCGCTGGGTGGGGTTATCCAGAAGTTGGGAGTATGTTGTCAGCAATATGCTGATGACACTCAGCTCTACTTCTCCTTTACATCTGCAGGTGAGGCAATGGAAGTGCTGGACTGGTGTCTTGCCTTGATAATGGACTGGATGAGAGCCAACAAACTGAAGCTCAGTCCAGATAAGACTGAGACCCTGTTAGTGGGTGGTTCCCTAGAACATCCTCTGAAGGAGCAGGTTCATAGCTTGGGGGTACTCCTGGCTTCTTTGCTGTCACTTGGAGCTCAAGTGTTCTCAGTGGTGTGGAGTGCCTTCAATCAGCTTCCGCTGGTGGCCCAGCTACGCCCCTGTCTGGACAGGGATAGCCTAACTACTGTTGTCTATGCTCTGGTAACCTCAGGGTAGGTTACTGTGATGTGTTATACATAGGGCTACCTCTGAAGACAGTTTGCCGAATGTTTCAGAAGCTGAACGCCAAAAACCCAGAAGTGAATGCTTCTGTTTTTGAATGCGCCTTGGAAGTCGAACAACTTCCGAGGCGCATTTCTCAATTTTCCACATTGAGCTTGCTGACAGCCCTTTGATCCTCAGTTTTTGAATGTTTCGGAAGTCGAATGGACTTCTAGAACGGATTATGTTTGAAAACTGAGGTTCCACTGTGTGTGTGTGTGTGTGTGTGTGTGTGTAATTGCACTACATTCCTTCTTTCTTCTGCTGTAGCCTGATATAGTGGCTGCTGCAAAGTGGCTGCTGATGGAGATGCCTGGCTTCTCAGCAGAGCTGGCAGTGGCCCCTCTATCCTCTGCTACCCCAAGTTCCCTTGTAGGTCATAAATATTTTGTAAAACTGTCCATTATCTCCCTTCCATACTTCAACTGTTCTCCAGCCCATGTTGGTGTCTTAAAGGGTATTTTCTTTTACAGGTACCCACGGATTAATAAAGAGTCTTTACTACCAGTAGCAAAAGATGTGTCCTATTCAGGAGAGAATACAGAGGCATGGTATCCCCCAGGCCATGGGGACATCTATGCAAGTTTCTATAATTCTGGATTGCTAGATAATTTTATTGGTGAGGGAAAAGAGTATATTTTTGTGTCTAACATAGATAACCTTGGTGCCACTGTTGATCTCTACATCCTTAACCACCTCATGAATTCACCAAATGGAAAACGGTGTGAATTTGTTATGGAGGTCACCAATAAAACGAGGGCAGATGTTAAGGTAAATACAAATACTTATTTCAGAACTGTGTCTTTGTCATTGTAAATCACATACCAAGGACTGAAATGATTGGAGAATGTAATAATTGATATAACAAACTGGACCCATAGAAGTGTTACTTCCCCACTAGCTGATGAAATCCTGAATCTGATCCCAAGATTTGTAGTGCGTTGCAGAATGAAAGCAAGTAGTATTCTGATGGGGGATAGACTCTAACTTTTTTCTATTTATGACCTGCCTATTTTAATTTCTTTTTAGAATTTGTCTCCTTTGGCTGTGTCAAGACACTAACAATTTCAAAACAATTAAAACGCAAGCAAAAACAAGATCCATTATTTATACTTTGTTATAGATTACCTTAAACTATGACTTCATTGAACCATCTTTCTGTCAACCAAGTCACAATAGAAAAACCACTATTAAATGGCTGTTTTAATAAACAAGTAGAAAACTTGGCATGTCCAACTGTGTAATAGGTGGCATGGAACTGGTGAAAACATTCTAGCTGAATGCTGCCAAGATCACTTGTCTGATTTAAGCTAGAAACCAAAGGCAAGCAGGTCACAGTTAGTTTTAGCAAGGCAAATTTGCTTTTTTATGTTTGCTTGTGCCCACATAAAATCCCATTTCACTTCTATTTGCTCTGTTTTTCCAGGGTGGCACGCTCACGCAATATGAGAACAAACTGAGACTAGTGGAGATAGCTCAGGTGCCCAAACCCCATGTAGATGAATTCAAGTCTGTTTCAAAATTCAAAATATTCAACACAAACAACCTATGGATTTCACTCTCTGCAATTAAACGGCTACAGGAGCAGAATGCTATTGATATGGAAATTATTGTCAATCCAAAGGTAAGAATCTGAAAAGGTCAGAAACTGAAGGGACAAAATTGAAAAGAGAGGGTAAAAATGCCAATCTTGAAAACTTTGTGTCAAGTTTAGGAAATATTGGAAGCCTGATCCAAAATATATCCTTTTGGATTAAGTAGTGGGAGAAGTATTTCAGAAAGTATTTATACTTCTCTTTATCACTTCTTCAGAAGTTTTGGATATAAAAAGCTTTGGATATTACAGGAATATATCCAAATTAAATTGGAAAATGTAATGTAATTATTATGTATCAATTTTGGTTTTAAGGATCAAGAACTGGCAATTAATGTAAATAAGTAAATGGACTAACTTATATTTTTATTGTGACTTGTTTGTATTGTATTGTTATGTGTAAACTTTGTTGTATATTTTGTTGTTCCTTCAGCTTGTAAACCACCTTGTGCCCAGCAGTATAGAAAGGCAGTACACAAATTAAAAGGGATTATGATTTTTATTACCAGCCAAGTCCTTAAAGGTCCTCCCTTTCACGTCAGGCTACTTAGGGGACCAAATAAACCTTAACAAGAGGTATTAGGGTGAAGTGCTAGGGATCTCTTCCTCCCCTTATTTATACTTTTTGTGGTTTGAAAATGTGGTGCACTCGGACAAAACGTACATCTTTGAGCTATAGTTTGGATGGAGCAACTATTATTTACATATCTTTAGGAGCCAGGTGAAAGCTTCTCCCAGGACTTTGGCTAATTAAACAGCCTGGCCTTTTAAACTGGGGGGGGGGGGGGTATTGTTTTTGTTTGTTGCTGTGGTATGTGTTTTTGTGTTTTATATTGTAAACTACTCTGTGATATTTAAAGAAATAACAGAAATTTTAATCATCATCATCATTGTTAACGTTCTTGAACAGTTACTTAACTGATGAAGCTTTTTCTTCCAGACATTAGACGGTGGTTTAAATGTTATTCAGCTGGAGACTGCTGTTGGTGCTGCCATTAAAAGTTTTGAGAATTCTCTGGGAATAAATGTACCCCGTAGCAGGTTTCTGCCTGTCAAGACCACGTCTGATCTTCTACTTGTGATGTCCAATCTATATAGCCTTAATGCTGGATCTTTAACAATGAGTGAGAAAAGGGAATTCCCTACTGTGCCCCTGGTCAAACTGGGAAGCTCTTTCACCAAGGTAAGCATAGCTCTTAAATGAGAGGAACAAGAAAAATGTTAATTGCAGATGATGGGTAAACAGTTTTATCAAGCTCCTTCACATGGCTGACTAGAAGCCAATCTAGTTGCGTTCCTGAATGCTGCCCTAAGAGTAAATTAAATGAACTGGAAAGTTGGAGTGAGGTGCCTTCACTATGCTAATGACAATCAATTCTACTCTGTTTCACTGGAGTCAGCTTAACCAGTAGACTTACTGAATTAGTGTTTGGGTTCAGTAACGGATTGGATGAGACACAGAAACCTGGAGTTCAATCTAAATAAGACAGATTCCATTGGTAGGTGGGTCAGCAAGATGGTTTCTGGATAGGGCTTCAATCCCCCCAAAAGGACTAATTCTAGAGTCTGGGAGTCCTGATAGATCCGTCATCATCACTAGAAGTCCAAGCGGCATCGGTGGCACGCAGTGCCTTCCACCAGCTAAGAATGAAGCACAGCTGAGATTCCTCCCAGAGAGAGCCCGGGACAATTTTCCATGCTCTGATCACTTCTAGAATGGATTGCTAGTATTTGTTTTATAGAGAACTGCCTTTTGAATATTTCCAAGCGATTCCAATTTATTGCAAAACACAGCTGCTAAGTTACTAATTGTGACCAGCTGTATAGAGTATATCTTATCAGTCTTTAAATAGGCACAGTTTTGCATGTCTATTTTCAGGTACAGTGGTGCCTCGCAAGACGAAAAGAATCCGTTCCGCGAGTCTCTTCGTCTTGCGGGTTTTTTCGTCTTGTGAAGCAAGCCCATTAGCGGATTAGTGCTACAGTACTGTATTAGCGGCTTAGCGGGCTTAGTGGATCAGCTGATAAGCGGCTTAACGATAAGCTGATAAGCGGCTTAACGACCAGCTGATAAGCGGCTTAAGGATAAACTGATAAGCGGCTTAACGATCAGCTGATAAGCGGCTTCGCATCAGCTGTTAAGCGGCTTAGCCATCAGCTGATAAGCGGTTTAGCGGCTTGGGAAAAAGGGGGGGAAAGGAAAAAAACCCCGCAGGAACTCGCAAGACATTTTCGTCTTGCGAAGCAAGCACATAGAAAATTCGTTTTGCGAAGCACCTCCAAAACGGAAAACCCTTTCGTCTAGCGGGTTTTCCGTCTTGCGAGGCATTCGTCTTGCGGGGCACCACTGTACAATTGAAAGTGTTAGGTATTACTTATAAAGCACTAAATGGCTTGGTGGATGGCTACCCGAACAACTAGTATCTACCATTGCTTGCTTGAACCCTTCTATCTCCCCTGGTGCGCCCACTGCTACCATTAGGTCCTTTAATCTCAGATGAAGAGAGGAGCTTCTTGATGGTGGTGACTTGCATTTGTGTGTGGCGTATCCTCTTCACATACATGCTTATCTGATGCCTAATTGGATGGTTTTTTAGTGCCAGGAGAAGACTTTTTATTTGCATTCTAGCTTGTGGAATAGCTCCTTTTAATTGTTTATAGCTTGGCAGTAAAACATTGACCATATTTGCATGTAATGGTGGACCAAGCTGTGTGGTTTTATTTTATTTTTAAATTATTTTCATTTTTCAATTTAACAATAATAATCATCAATTACATTTACATACCTACCTGTTTTGACTTCCTTCTTCCCCTTCCTTGGTTTCTTGTAAAAACATTTTCAGAACTGCATCTCCTCCTTAATTCCTTTTGTTTCTCTCTATATTTCTTCCAAAGTCACCTTTTAATTGCTTGATTTTAAATTAATCCTGCTGGTGTGTTTGTTTACAATATTTTTAAGATGATCCACATAACTCCCCCATTCTTTCTTCTTGATTTCTTACTCTTCCCGTAAATTTTGCCATTCTTTATTTAACTTTGCTTGCCATTCTTCCTTTGTTGGGACAGTGTCCTCTTTGTTGGGATACTGCCAGGGAGATAAAGTCCATCAAGGCCCCCAAGCCATCTGCCGGACGATCCACCGACCTCCGGTAGGCACGCAGCGACATGAGTTTCTAGAAAATAGCTTGTACACATTCCAGAGCTCATGCACACTCTATCAGCAGATAATGCACAGCCAAAAGTTGCAATCAGGAGAGCATTATTTACAAGTTTATTCAGCGTTGATCAGAACACAGAAAAACATGACTGCCTGCTTTTAGTGTCTGCGACACAGAGAGAGAACGAAAGCAATAGCAAACATAAACATCCTGTGAACAGGAAATACGCAGACTCTGACTCACAAAGCCTGCTCCCTTTTAAGGTGGAACGGAAATATCCTAACACTCTTTCCATCTCTGTGCAAAGAGCATCCTAGCGGCTGTGGTTGCATACATAAGCCATTTTGCTTGGTCTTTCAGTATATCCTGCCCTAGTATCCCTAAAAGAAAGGCTTCTGGTTTTTTAATAGAAGTTACCTTCAACATTTTTTTCAGTTCATTATAAATAATTTCCAAGAAGTCTTATACTATCTTACAAGACCACCATCTATGATAGAATGTGCTCTTTTCCTATTTACATTTCCAGCATGTGTCTGATTTTGACTTATACATTCTTGCTGATTTACTGGGTGTTAAGTACCATCTGTACATCATTTTCATATAATTTTCTTTCAATGTATAACATGCTGTAAATTTCAAATCCATATTCCATAACCTTTCCCATGCTTCCATTTCTGTATTATAACTAAAATCCCTTGCCCAGTGTATCATCACTGGTTTCACCTGTTCGTCTTTTGTTTCCCACCCCCAAAGAAGCTTATATATCTTAGATAATAGGAAACAAAGAAAATGTGTTAAGTCTCTTTCTAACTGAGAGGTTTGATTTAAAAAGCCATTCTTTTTATCTAAGCTGTGTGGTTTGTTTTAGCCAGATCTGCCTTCTCGAGATGGCATGCCGTAGAGTAGCTCTGTGTTATCTGATGTCTTTACCACTGTTGCTGGCAGAGTAGCTCAAATTGGGAATACTAGGCTCAGTTTACTTCAGCAGAACTAAAAGGTAAAGGTAAAGGTACCCCTGCCCATATGGGCCAGTTGTGTCCGACTCTAGGGTTGTGCGCCCATCTCACTTAAGAGGCCGGGGGCCAGCGCTGTCCGGAGACACTTCCGGGTCACGTGGCCAGCTTGACGAAGCTGCTCTGGCGAGCCGGCACCAGCGCAGCACACGGAAACGCTGTTTATCTTCCCGCTATAAAGCGGTACCTATTTATCTACTTGCACTTAGGGGTGCTTTCGAACTGCTAGGTGGGCAGGAGCTGGGACCGAAAGATGGGAGCTCACCCCGCCGTGGGGATTCGAACCACCGACCATGCGATCGGCAAGCCCTAGGCGCTGAGGTTTTACCCACAGCGCCACCCGCATCCCGACTCAGCAGAACTAGATGTACTTAAATGAAAGTGGCACAGTTTAATTGGTTTGTGGATTTGTTTGAAAATCTTGAAACTGGAAAATCTCGACCCTTACTAGAAAACCCCTCAGGCAACAGGTGATATTCTTGCCTTACTTCACATCAGCATTTAACCAGAAAACCTACTATGGTAGGTATTCAAGGGCAAATTGAAGCAGGTTTATGTGCCTTGTTTTCACATTATTTTTAAACTGCTTTTGTCGTCAGAACTCTTATAAATATTCTCCTATGACAATGGCATATTTGATAGTGGATGCTTACACAATCTCATTTGTTCAGTTCAGTTTTCCATTGTTAACCCAGATCCAAGTCAGGTGTGTTGATCCATCAAACTGGCATGAGCAAGCTCCCATTTGCTCTATCCTGGGTGTGAACATTGCAACCCCAGGTCCTTCAAGTAATCATCTCTTAAAACTATGAGTAGCCTACCTTTATTTCCAGAGGGATAACAATGATGCCTGCCAGAAACCTTTAAACTTAGATGAATTTAGAAAAGGACTGCTGCCCCCATGACTGCAATTCCCTGTCCATTAATCACTTGCATTTTGCATGGAACTATAGGAAAATAATAATTGTCTTTAGTTAAAGGGGTGAGGAAAAAAAGAAAGTTATAAAATTCCATGATAAACAACTAAATAAGCATAGTTCTAGGTAGGCCATGTAGTTGTTTATATTTCAAATAATTCCCAGACAAATCTTTCATGATGACACATATATGGGGACCTGGGGCATCATTCTTTAATGTCTGCTTTTTGAAAAGGTTCAAGATTACCTGAAGAGGTTTGAAAGTATACCAGATATGCTGGAACTGGATCATCTGACTGTTTCAGGCGATGTCACATTTGGCAAAAATGTGGCATTAAAGGTAGGGCATACAATTTTCTGTATACAAATTTCCTTTGTGTTTTGATAACATGTAGAAATCGTTGATCTGTCAACCTCCCTTAAGATTAAATATACAAATATTCATCTCTTCATTAGATGTAGAACATGTAATATGTGAAAGAAAGTATATATTTGCCTTCGAGAAATTTATTGAAAACCATTTGTTTCCCAGTGTGTGTACCCAAAATAAGAATCACACTACATCTGAAAATATAGTGATAAATCTCTGTAAGAGAAATGACATGTGGCATCTCTAATGGCCAAACTCAACCAGGGACCACTCATTTAATTAGAAATAGTGTGGATGGCTTTTTAAAAGTTGTAAAAGTGGCCTGATCTGGACTGGGACTCTGGCTTTGACCATATGCCCCAGCTGTGGTCTCATTTCAGATTGTGTCTCTCATGCCTGCTATTGGCACTGGAAGAAAAGCTCCCATTGGTGGTAACAGAAGCTTTTCTTCCTGTGTACAGTGGTACCTCGGGTTAAGTACTTAATTTGTTCTGGAGGTCTGCACTTTACCTGAAACTGTTCTTAACCTGAAGCACCACTTTAGCTAATGGGGTCTCCTGCTGCCACCGCACCGCCGGAGCCTGATTTCTGTTCTTATCCTGAAGCAAAGTTCTTAACCTGAAGCACTATTTCTAGGTTAGCGGAGTGTGTAACCTGAAGCGTATGTAACCTGAAGCGTATGTAACCACAGTAGATGGAGTGCCCTGTGCTTTCTATCTGGACTTGGAACCACAGCTAGGGGCAAAAGTGTCCCATGCCAGGAACCGAATATTTAGTTTTTTAAGAGTTTTTGATTGCTAATTGCAAGGTGTCACATATACTGCCTTGAAACATGGACATTTCATTAGGTTGCCATTGCTTAATAGTCTTGATACCTTCTCAGTTTGACCTCAGGTGAACTGACCTGAGTTAACACTGTGAGCTTTTAATCAGTTTTGATTTCAAACATTAATTGTGCATTATTTGAAGCCTTTCCTTGTCAGTCCTGAACTTGCTGCCAACTTCCAAGTTCTAGCATATTTTACATCTCTGTTTAAGTGTTTCTGTTTGTGATCTGCAGTCATTCATAACTGTTATCTCCCAAAGTCTTCTTCAAATCAAAAGGCACAAGTACTTTAGGCATTCCTCCAAGCCTTTGATTTTTGTTAACACTACCTATATCCACATAGTGGGAAGTAAAGTCCCATTGACTAATGAGACTTCTCAGGAAAAGGGATAGGTTTGAACTGGAAGTTGCCTTTCTGTACCTTTTTGAGGTGTGCCCAGAGCTGTACACAGGATTCTAAATATTGATATATCTCAGATTAATATGGTGGAAAGCCTCTCCTCCTCCCGGAGGGGAGGGGTTGTGAGCGGGAAACGATTCCCGCGTCATGCAGGGGGCGCTCTGCCCCCTGCTTCAACTCCAGGGGCTGGAGCGCCACGCCCTTCCCGGTTGGGCACCCAATAGGGAAGCTCGGCGGGGGCGTGGCTTGCCGTTCAAATGCGGCCGCGCCAGCCCTCCCCGCCATTGCACACACATTTTCTTCGAGTCACCCACCCTCCACTCCCTTTAGATTAGCTATGCGGGGATTGGGTCCTCGAATCACAATTTATCCTTATTTGCTGTTTGGAGTGACAAAATAGAAATATATTTGGTACCGCTATGCTGGTCTTCAAAAGAAATGGGGCCTGAAATTATTTGTATGCAGAGTTATTAAATATGACTAAGTTGCATAGTGTATGTAAACTAAGTTTTACAAATTTCTGTAGGTAAATATTTAGGATGTATTTATTTTATACCAGCCATACAAGTTTGGCATGAATCACTGTATGAAATGTATTAGAATTAATTCAAAACAGTTAAAAGCTGAGTTAAGAAAATCTAATTAAAGAGTTCAAGTCCAAGCAGCACACTCAATAAAAAAAAGGATCTGACTTTTTCCCCCTTTTTCTTTTATTATGTAGGGAACCGTCATCATCATTGCAAACCATGGTGACAGGATAGATATCCCACCAGGAGCTGTATTGGAGAACAAAATAGTCTCTGGAAATCTTCGGATCCTTGATCACTGATCCAATAAGTGAACTAATAGAGATGTTGGTAATATTTCCTAGTTTCACAAGTGGAAGAACCCATAGGCATTAGATTTGTACACAGAAGGTCTCTATACTTAGCTATCCACTCACTGTACCAACAGTATTATTTCTAAGTAATTTTTCTGAACTTTCTTAACTGAAAGAATATTTAAGATGCAGCTCTTTAAATGAATCTATAATTCAGCTAATATAATCTAAAGTGCAATATTGTTTGTCTTAAGAAAAGGCAGACATCTCTTGTGTAAGATGTTTTAAGATGCTGATGTTCAATGAGTTTTGAATGGCTTGTAACTGAAAAAGCTGTGAAATATGCTGTTAACTATTAAGTGCAACCACCTTATAAAGCATAAATGGCACCCATGATAAAACACTTAGATGATTTATTAATATGGCACATAAGCTGTTTAAAATGTCTAGTACTTAACTGTTAACATTGTCTTCCTTCCTACAGTTAATACCTTCAGGCTATAGTACCATCACAGCAACGATAGCATTGCTCAGTTACCTCACTTTTATCCTTCTCTAAAGCTGGAGTTATTGCTCTCTGTTTACCCAAAGAAGAGACACCTTAGAATGTTACTCCTTTACTGTCACCCCTCATCTTCTAGCTTCTCTTACTTTTTAGCTATTACTTCTTAAGAAATCCTAAATGTACTTCTAAATATGGGAAAATATCACCACCTCAGTGTACTTTATGTTCTTAGAATTAAATCATGTTTTGCTTGTTACAAATGTGGAAACAAATTCCACATCTGGAAGGTACGGAAATAAAACATCAAGCCCCCTGTCTGAATTTTCTTTTGTGTTGTTAACAAAATCTGGCCTTGTGCTTATCCTATTCTTAAAGAAGTTGCTCTCTTAAACAGCTCATTTTTACAACTTTATTTGATTGACAACGGCTTCTGCTAATGTTAACAGATAGGCATGCCTGTCTGAAGAAATCACAGGCACACAAACATGGTGGACTATCATTGTACATAATCATCACAAGAGTAGGCACTCACTGGGTTTAGGTAAAAATGCTGTGAGGTGAAATACACAGGCACTTCATTACTTAAGAGAGGCAGGTACCAGCCTGAAAGGTAGCATTAGAAAAAGTATTCATAAATTAGTCATGCCTCATCTCCTGCTGCACTTATGTGTAGTCAGAACTACACATAACATTTTAAATAGAGTGGGCAGGGGTTCTTAAAAGAAGTGTTCAAAAAATTAACACACTCCCCCCCCCCCATAGTTTGACAAGCTTACTGGCTATGATAAGCTATCTTATTAACATGCCCTTATACTCAGAATAAGTTGCAGGGCTTTACTTTCAAGAGCTGGGAAACATTTAAAATGTCATCTTCTGGTGGGAGTATGAAGATCATTTATGGAAATACTTTGGAACAGGATGCACCCTAACAAATCCAAATCTATGCAGATAAGACTTTATAGAAACATCTGTAAAAAAATAATTTAACAGTAAAGTTTTATACTGAAAACATTTTCTATAATTCAACAGCAAGAATTTTCAAACTACCATCATTAAATAAAGGTGAGACACCATGTGAATTTCATTGCACTAGAGGAAATGCAAAGCATCTTTTTAATATAAAGATTTACAGAGCACTCTCTAGAAAACTACAGCTGTGTTACAGCTATATATTCTTTTGGATTTGGTCCAAAGAAACCTGAGCCTCGTTCCAGAAAGAATGAAGAAATTGCACAGAGAACTGATCACTTTTCTTGCAAAAGAACTATCAAAGTCATTCCCATAGTTGGTTTTCACCACATCACAAGGGAGCTTCCTCTTCTATGTTCCAATAATTCATCTTCTACAAAGAAGAAACCATCCCATGCCAAGAGGCAATTCTGCTCTGCTGGACTATCACCTCTTCTGTTCCCAGATTTCAGCCATGTTCAAGTCTAGGGTTTGAAGCCCTTTCAAAGCTTGGAGATTTCCAGTGTAAAAAGCTACATCTGCTGTAACCAATCTGAAACAGAAATAAACACATTGAGGAGACAAAAGGGCTGGATCTATAGGCAAGAATTTTAGATCTTGTTTCAAGCTAAGTGTTGTGCACTTGGTCTTGTGCGCTAAGCCTGATCTATTTTGCTTTGTACTGTATTTGTGTTGCATTTCAACACAAATACACGGTGGCCCAAAAGTAGGTATACTGCTTTAGAATCCATTTCCTTTGTACCGGACTCAAGTTTGCCATCATCATTCACAATAATCCTTTTATCTGACTCCACTATTATTTCTAACTGCCAGCCTGAAATTTAACTGCAACTTTGTTGTGTGTCACCTATGTGTACCCAAATAATCTGTTGTGATGAATTTCATTGATTCAACTGTATACCTACTTTTGGGCCACCCTGTATAGTTAATACAGTTTGAAAATATCACCATCTACTATTAGTGTAAGGTAGTAGTAAAACTGTTTTTAATTCCTGAAGAGCTGTGATGTTCAAAATCACAAAATACTATGTTTTGTGTTTAATAATATAACTTCTATAACTACATCAAATATGCATCCATTAAATTCCATATTCTCTTGCTAGAATTCTCTTTCTCAAAACGTTTATTGTATTCTGGATCTCAACACTTGTGTTCTTTCCCATAGCGTTAGGTCCTTTTCTGTGCACAGCCATCCAGCAGTATCAATCAAATGCTTAAAGGAGATAGACTGTATTTAGCAGCCTTACCCTTGAACTCCTATATAAAAAACCTTGTGTAACATACCCATTTTGAGGTCCTCCGTCATTGACTACATTTAAGTGGGCCAATTGCCTCTTCAAGTGAAGTTTGTAGCTTGCATTAATTCTTAAAAACAACATCTAGAGAACAATATAGAAGATGTTCCTTTTTAGAATATATAGTAAGAAGGTGAAAGGTTTTGTTCTCTTGAGGAGTGACTATGAAGAATACAGAAGACTCAACTTACGCCGAGGTTATGTTCTGGGGCTAGCGCGTAAAGCCAAAATTGTGTAATGTCAAAACACACTGGGTTCAGTGGTGGGTAGGATTGCCAAACTCTTCTTTTCCCATATGTCTGCCCCCTTATTTTTATTTTATTGCCAAGCATATGTGTGCAAGTTAAATGCACTTAAGTTGTGAGTTGTACTCAGTTTCATGTACATACCCAACTTCGCATTTATGTGCCACTGTGCACTTCCGCCAGCACAGAAAATAATGAGCACTTCATAAATAATGGTTCCAGCATTTTTGTTTTTATTTTAAAAAACAACCCCCTAGTTCTCCATACTTTCCCCCGGAACTGAAGGAATGGGTTTCCCAAACCCCTGTTTGGGGTTTCCTGGCCAACGCACCAAGGCACAGGGAGGAGGGGTACTCCCCCCCCCCATGGGGTTTGGGAAACCCATTCCTTCAGAACCATGCTTAAGTATGGCATATTTTTTCATGATGTCATCTCACATAACAACTCTGCATGAATGGACTGCGCCAAAGGTTAATAATATACAGTGGTGGTGTGAAGCTACTTATAGATGCTACAGTCCCACTTGGGGCGTGGCCATGGAGATATGGTTGTCAGTAGCTTTCACGTAGGGGCCATAATATTTAAACTAGTACCAAGAAATGGTTTACTTATTTTCTGATTCATGGGAATCTCCTTGCCCAAGCACACACAAACTTACAAGTAAAATTAATGAGACAATATCTGCAATTAAATAGTATGTGTTACTTGTTTTAAATAAAAAGAGTCCATTACTTCTCCCATCCTGCCATACTAGACCTGGTGGGTTTGGCTCCCTCTAGCACTTGAGAGCAGGAATATACTTGCCTCTCAGGAACTTCTAACTAGCCCATTTCCAGAAGCAACCTCAGTCACTATTTCCACAGATGGCAGCAGACTACTCTGGGTCGCTGGCAAGACAATACCACCGGGCACTGCTTGCAACTGGAACTTTCTTCCATCTTTGTGTGGATCCTGTAAACTTCTGATGGGTATTGGTAAGAGGACCCATGTGTGTGGGTTAACAAACAATAGGGAAATGGCTGGTGCCAGTTTTTAAAAACACGGGACTAGTGCATAAAGAGCCCCAGTAGCAGAGTTTAAATCTGGCATCAAGCAGATTAAAGAAGCACAGGATTGGGCTATTAAACCTTTTGATTCCATTCCTGCTGCTTGAGTCAACTGGTCCCCTTCTACCCCACCCCATACAATGAAATAGACCACACTCTGAAGTTAGTTTAAAAATGCCTTACTTAATCAAGTCACAGACATGTAGCAACATTAAGAAATGAAGATACTTGTTTCTGGGATGATAAATGCAGCAAAGGCAGCCTCAGACACACGAGGCAGAGAGCTGTGTAGAGGCATGTCTGCCTCCATGGTGTGCAGCATGAGAAAGAGGGAGAGAAGAACATCTTTCCCATCACTGATCCTACTCTATACTCACTAGCACTGTTAGGGTTGACTGCAGATCTCCCACAATTTCTTCCTTCTCTAACCTGGCAAAAAAACCAGAATGAGGTCGCTTCTGGGAACGAGTTAGTTACAAGTTCCTAAGAACATTCCTGCCTTTGAATGCTAGGGGGAACCAACCCACCTGGTTCAGCATGACAACACAGAAATACCTAGTGGACCATTTCCCCAAGGCTATTAAAAGACTCCATAATTAAAGGCTTGACTTGCAGCCATATTTCAAATGAGGTAAAGCTATTCCAATACTGATCTCTATTTTTTGGATGTTTACTATTTATGTGTTACATAAAATAAGGAATAATTTACATATGCATAGCATTTTAAGCCAAGATCTTAAATAACATGAGATGTGATCCTCCTTATATGAGTAATCAGCAAATGTAGACTTCATTTGCAGTTGCCTCTTCAACTATTGGGAGCATACGTGACACTCCTACAGCAGAAATAAACACACCACTCAAAACGGTTCACCTGTGTTTGCTCCTCAGGAAGAAGGTCATATATTGCTTCATGCATCTTGGCCATCTGTTTACAAATATTCCTGAAGCAGGTGGAAGGAACAGGTGCTTTCACCTCATACTATTAACAAAGACAGGGAATGTGTCACTAAAGTTGTTTTCTGGCTGCTACTTTAAAAAACACTGGAAATTCATGGGTTGCCAGTTCATTTCTGGGCCCAATCTAAGGAGGTGCTTATGTTAGCATTTTAAGCCCAAATGATTCAGGCCCCAAATATCTGAAGGACCACCCCCTTCCCTACGGACCCTCTCAGGTCTCCAGATCAGCAGGGGATGCCTGCTTGGTAGTTCTGCTGTCCACAGAAACTTGGGGTGGTGGCCCAGGAGAAGGCATTCTCTGTGGTAGGCCCTAGTTTGTAGAACTCTCTCCTCAAAGCTGTGCCTGGCAACTTCAACATATATTTTCAATGAATGCTGAAGGCACGCATCTTTACCTTGGCCTTTGACACCTGATAAATATCTTCTTAAGAGTTTCACCCTAAATCACCCTATTTTTGTGATTCTGGAGCCAGGTTTCACCACAAGTAGATTGCTTTAAACTATTTTTAACATTGTATTTGAAATTAATGTATCCAACCCTGAGACCCTAGTCTCATCAGGAGTAATAATCTTTCTGCTGACTGGTTCAGTTTCTCATCATCAACTATGATGTGCTATACAGATGATTTGTAATGTGCTAAAATTCTGATCAGATAACTACCATAAAATATCCTCTTTCCCAGCTGTTAAGAAAAACTGCCCCAAAGAACAGTATGTAAGTTTTCTGCAAATGCAAATACGATGCACAATAGAGCTATGCACAATATAGTTACTTTATGTACATACAATATAGCTCAGCATGCAATGGGAGGGGCTGTTTGCACGGGGAACTCCCATGTCCACCTCTGCACACACAGAGTCTGGGTTTGGAGTGGAACTGGATTCTTTGTTTAAGAATGTGACACTTCAGGTATAAGGGAGGCACACCTGACCTTGCCTTATGAGTCTGGGGTCCACATCTGGACATTTATGCTTTTATTTGCCATTGAACTACTAATGTAACAAGTTAGCAAAATACTGCACAGTGGACCTCTTGGAGCAATTATCTGATAAAACTTAAAGGTATCCTCTATAATTCTCTGCTACAAATAACAATACTAAAAATAAGACATTTCAAACCAGAAAATTATTAGAAAAATACCTTGCTAACGTAGTCAAAATACCTAAGCATTCTGAACTGCTAAGAAACAATAAGCACCTGAACAAGGAAAGTATTGTCCATGTACCCACTGAGTATTCTGCATGAGCTGAAGAACTTAAACCTTTGTTAAGAAGCATGATTCCATCCGCAAATATTTACCTTAGAGAGCAGCTTGTCAAATAAGCTATCCATTATGGCTACGAGCTTTGCTGAAATTTCAGCTATGTGGTCATGATAATCCTGAAAAGAATATAATATTTATTATTTATATTTATGCAAGAGTCTGTCCTAAAGAGCCTATCCAGAAGGCATGAAGAAAAACAAAGATGACTACAATGCATTTGCCGCTGCTGCTACATTTTTAATCAGTAATACTTACTTGGAAGGCGCCCACAAATGCCGGCTGACCAATTAGTCTAGTCTACATTTGTCCTCACTACCAACACCTGTGGCAGCTGGGAGTTTTGGGAAAAGTCAAGAGATTTCCCTGACTTGTGCAACAGTATGAAAGTCAGGAAAAGCAATTTTTTCCCTTCTGCATGGAAGAAATGACATCTCTCTCAAGCCCATTACAGTTTCTTATCTTATCCAAATCTCCATGCAAATGAAACAAGACTTTGTCTTCCTCAATCCTTCTAGATCAGTGGTTCACAATTAGCTAATTACTGAGGACCCCCTATTTTTCTAAAGCCAAGCCACAGACCCCTACTTACCTGTGCAAAGCAATTATTTGAGGAAAATGTGGGGTAGCCTAGGGGATTTTAGCTTTACTAAAGGATTTTATGTAAAATTTGTTATATTACCAAAAACTGCCTATCACCAGACAGAAGGAAAAACGTGTCCCCACTACAACTGAATTTTTAAAAAGGAATTGTGTCCCTAACTTGTACATGTTCTATATGCAGAAGGCTTTTTGTATGAGAGAGTATTCAAACATGCTATTCCTTACTTCTAATCTGAAATGGTACATCCTAGCAGAATTTTGCAGCATATGGTTCTGCTAACTAAGGGATCTTGCACCTTCAAGACATAGGTGAAGGCTTGGCCAGGGCTTGATAAGGCATTGGGGAAGACTGAGTGGAAAACAGCTGGAATGTTGGAATGATGGTAGTAGTAGTAGTAGTAATTTATTACTGCTATTTAGTCCTCCTGTGCTCAACTCATTAATCTCTTTGAGCTCTTGGCTCCCTCCAGCTGGCGCTGGTAGCAGAGGAACTCGGGAGCTGAAGCCGTTTCACCAGCAATCTACCACGGAGTGAAGCCGCCATCCCACTCTGCCCTCACACCGACAGAGGCAGAAACAAGCTGTGTCGGCGAGGCACAATACAGCTTGTTCCTCCCTCCACGTCTTTAAACTGCTCGGCGGAGGAGCATGCGACTGCCCTTGCCTCAGCCAAGCAGTTTTATGGAGCCTCTAATTTGCCCTGCGGTCACATGAGCTGGTGGCAGGGTGGGGGCTCAATGAAACTGCTCCACTGAAGGGTGCACGGTTGCCGCTCCCCTCAGCCGTGCAGTTAAGGGAGCTTCCAGCCCCCCTCTGGATCATTCAGCTGGGGGACGAGAGGCCTCTTTCAGCAAAGCCCCAATGCTCCTCGGATCAAACATAAGCCCGAGAGGCATCGGAACTCGCTCACTGTGTAGGGGTGGGCCATGTTTCTCAGCTGCTTCTTACTGCCCTAAGGTGGGAAGAAGAAGCCAAGATAAATTCCAGACATAGTAATATATCAGCATATACCGGTATTTAAGGTAAAGGTAAAGGGACCCCTGACCATTAGATCCAGTCGTGACCAACTCTGGGGTTGCGGCGCTCATCTTGCTTTATTGGCCGAGGGAGCCGGCGTACAGCTTCCGGGTCATGTGGCCAGCATGACTAAGCCACTTCTGGCGAACCAGAGCAGCGCACGGAGCATCGAAGTGGTATCTATTTATCTACTTGCACTTTGACGTGCTTTCGAACTGCTAGGTTGGCAGGAGCAGGGACCGAGCAACGGGAGCTCACCCCATTGCAGGGATTTGAACCGCCAACCTTCTGATCGGCAAGTCCTAGGCTCTGTTAGCTACTGATATATCACAATGTTGAAAAGAAAGGATTGCCCAGCCGTAGCACTAAACTAAATCATCAGAGGTTGAGCTGCTGTGGTAATCACAGTTGCAATTTGCTTAGCTATTTCCCCTGTTGGGCTTCCAAGATGAGACATGAATCCCAAACTCATAAGGCAAGATTAACTGAAAACCGTACTACCAAGCAGTGGGAGAGTCCTCTAAACTAAATTAGTTGTTGAAAGCAATTAGAAGTTCTTTTCAGTGAAAAAGTAGAGAGCAAGGGGGGAGAGATCCCTTACATTTTTTTAAAATGATAAGCATGTGAGCTGTTTGCACTCTCTTCCCCCCTCCCTATGAAACTGTGTCAGAGGTTTTTGCCCAATCCCAGTTTACTTGCCATCCCCCAACTCTTTCACAAGTTTTTCCCCTACCAGCAAGCAGGTGCTGGTTGTGAGCAGAGGCTGGCTGGCCCCTGGAAGGCTTTCACTGTGCAGTTAACAAGATAAGCAAGTCCCTGGCAGGGGACGGTGCCATGGACCCCCTGAGTGTGTTCCGCAGACCCTCAGGGGTCCCCGGGCCCCTAATTGGGAACCACTGTTCTAGATGCTTAAAAGACAGCTTTTTCTCCCATGTACAATGGAGTATGGAAGATGGGAGTTTAGAGAAAGGAAGCAAGAGCAGGTGGGACTGCAGCACAAAGGGAATCTGTTGGCAGTTGCTGGAATTGGTATTATGGATGTGAACTAATTCAGAAGAAAAGAAAAAGGTTTATGAGATCCCATAGCATCTATTCCCAGGACTGTCAATGAACAAAGGCAGATGAGCAAATGGACATTCACATTGCACTGAGGTTATTACTATGCAACCATAGTAATGCACACCTCTAGGTTGGAACCACCAAAACGACGGCCCATGCAGGGAATGTAAAATGCATGCAGGTTTTTCTTACCTAATAACAACAACAATAGTAACAAGGTATTTCAATCCAGAAAATTATTAGAAAAATACCTTGGTAATGTGGTCAAAATGCCTAAGCATGCTGAACTGTTTGGGTTGCAGGCGAGCTTCAAAGTGAGCTCTGATAACAGGAATGTAGTGCACTATGAGCTGCAGGCAGCGTGATGAGAGGGCTGTGAAGACAGAGAAGAAAACAGAAGAAAACAACACAGAAGAGCTATTACTATATTATGAGATCTTTTCCTATGCAAACTGCAATAAAGAAAATATGCACAGCATTCTGCATGAGGAAATACTACTTTTATTTTAGAAATTCACCAACAGCATGTTCCAAAGGCTTACTGTGCCAGTACACAAAAGTTAATCAGAAGGCAGCTCTTTTTCATGAACTGAATTTTAAAATATCTATTGCACGCTAGCTCCTTCACATACTGCCCATAAAAGAATTTGCAATACAACCACATTGCAACCACAAAAATATGTTCTGGAAAAGCTGCCTACTCGAAGTTTCTTTAGAAAATTGAAAAGGGAATTTACATGACCATAGAAAGTTTAAGCCAAATCCATACCTAAATTTTTTGTAGTTATTGTTTTCAAGCCAACCACTTGCAGGGCACCTGCTCCAAGCACTAGCTGACAACTTCTTGAGTTGAAATACTGAGAAAGAGAGAAAGGTAAACAGTAACACAGTGGCTGATGGGAATTGGGAGTCATGTTGTAGTTATCTTATGATCTTATAGACAAATTCATGGAAGATAAGGCTACAAGTTATGATAGCTGTGCACCATCTCAGCCTCCGAGGCAGCATGTCTCCAAACACCAGTTGCTGGGGGGAAAGAGTGGGAGAGGAGAGGGCATGGTGAAAAACAGGTTGCTGCTTGACTGGAAAGTGCTTTAGTCTGACCCAGCTGGACTACGTCCCCCAGAACCTCTGGAGAGGGTTCTAGGAGTGGGGAGGAGAGACGTGAGCTTGAAAAGCCTCTTTCCATGAACTGCTGTTCTAACAGTCTTAGTGCAGATTCTGTATCGTACAGGGTGGGGGGTGGGGACTAGATGAACTCTGGGATCCCTTCCAACATTTATGATTCTCACTTCCTTTACGACAACAATTACCAAGTTCTTAGTTTTTCTGAGACATGCAATGCCACAGTGCTTATTTTATTCCAGCTAGATACTTGCAGAAATCAGCACCTTAGTGCTAAAAAAGAAACAAACAACTCTTCCAAGAAACTGAAAATACTGGCCTTTATCAGCAGCATTAAGTCAAATGGTCTTTCAAAGCACAAGGCAAGGCCTTTGAATTTGTTCAGTTATAGATTAAGTTATTCTTTGTTTTACTAATTTGTAGTTTAATCTCAGTGTCTGAAGCTGATCCAGCTGGCTGTGAGCTAGGAGCAGCACAAAAATTAATAATGACATTCAACAGGACGGAAGGAAGGCATATGGCTTAAATATCAAAGTCAACACTGGGAGTTGCTTTGCATCCCACAAGGTGAAAAAATGAACAGAAAGCTCTCTTACAAACTTTTGTGTGCATCAAAAAGAGTTCAAAGTCCTACACAAGTTTTCTGATGTTTCCCCCCACATTTTCCTTGACCATACCTATTTATTTTCATAAAGCCATTTCATAAAAATATATTTTAAAAAGCAAGATACATTCCCTGCATTTTAGGAAGGACCTGAGGGAGCTGTACCTTTAGTAAATCAGACAGACGAGTAAGCATGTCAGTAGCTATTGAGGGGATGCTATCCACACATTGGCAGTATTCAAGGATGATTCTAATTAACAACAACACTGTCCTGCAAGACAAAGAATCAAACATACACACTCAGACCATATGACAGACTGCAAGTCATCAAAACATCTTTAAAAACACATTTCAACCTTTTCCTTCTCATCTTTTGCTATTAGCCAACACCATTGCCTGCCAATTTCTACTGTGGCTCCTGAATTTTACTTTCCAGGTGAGTTCAGCTCATATGCCATTGAATTAAATGGGGAAATTCTCACTGGCTTCAGTAGAGCTAGCTTATGGTCAGTGAAAGAGATTGTGCATTTTAGGGAAAGTCACAAATACCAACTACTGATGTGTTTTTGACGGAGTAGGAGGGTGCAATTTTCTGCAGCAAAATGGTAAAAGATCCGAAGTTATTTCAACGAAGTATACTGCTGTGACTACACACACACACACGCAGGGAGTGCTCAGCAATTCTAAGAAGCCAACAGCAACCTATCCAAAATAGACAAAGCACTCCTCTTTGACCTCTAGAACCATCCTGCCAAATTTGGTTAAGATATCTTAAGTGATGACTGAATGCATAAGTGTTTAGATAGACAAACAAAATTTCAAAATATACAGTAGACTGGTGGAGTGGTTAGAGTGTCGGACTAGGAACTGGGAGAGCAGGGTTCAAGTCCTCACTCGGACATTAATTCCATTGATTGATCTTGGGCCAGTCACAGTCCCTTAGCATAACCTACCTTACAGAATAAGGGGGCGTACCATATACACCACCTTGAGCAACTTGGGAGGAAGAGCGGGACATAAATATAACAATATAAAAAGGGAATCCAGCATTAACAGTACAATCTTCAGCTAAAACATAAAAATACTAATGCATACCAGTTCCTCCTGTTTTATATTCTAGAGGCTCAACCCAGAAAAAATACAGGCATCAAAGTTAATGAACCACTTTCATTTGTTGATCAATTCACTTTTAGAGAAATCATATAAATTTACTTCCTCTTCTTTTAAATATTCCTACTCTTACTTAATCATTGCTATCCCAACAGTACATTGGGGTCAGAGCAGCAAGATCAATTAGATGAAAAACTTTTTTTAAAAAAATCTTACTTTTGAATCTTTCTTTTTACTAGCATTTCCTAAGTTCAGAGCACACAGCAGTGACTTAAAACAGAAATACTGGTGTGGTATGTACCATATAATATCTCTGGCTACTAATTTTGGAGGAACCCAAATTATCACCTGATAAGATCAAAAGAAAGAAAACAAACATTTGACTGAAATTTGCTGAGGATTTTAAAAAGGGAATTATATGCAGGAGACTTACTCAGGAGTTTTCCTCAACTTTCACAAAACTAATAAATATTTTAATATTCAAAAGTGAACTTGCCATGATGGGGAACACACATGTCTTACCCAACTACAGCATATTTTTGTCCATCAACAACAAGGAAGTCAGTTGGCTTTCTTTCTTCAGGTGCTAAAACAAGTGAATAAAAAAGGAGGGGGGATCTAAAATTAAAAACAACACAAATAACATTGCAACTGTCTCTTTAAAAAAAGGCCCAGGGATGAAAATTACCCTGTACTTTACTCCTCCATTTCCACTTTATAACACTGGCATGCAGTCTGTGAACCGGAGGGACTAGCTTAGTCCCCCGGGCGCATGCTCAGGTGCAGAGGGAAGCAGGTTCTTCAACAGAGTCCCTCTATGTACTTTACAATGCACAGGCGCAAGGCATGCTCTTATTCAGAAAGTACAGTTTCTTTACAATGCACAGGGGCTCAGCTGAAGAACCTGCTTCCCTCCATTTCTGAGCATGCACCACCCACGCAACTTGTAGCACACAGGATTCTCTCACAAGCATTAGGGGGTCCATGTTCCCTTCAGGCGCCTGCTGCTCTCAACTATCCACACCAGCAAAAACTGGGAATTTGGGGGGGGGGTCCTTAACTTCCAGCCACTTCTGTTGGACTGAATTCCCAGCGACCCCTTTCTTCCTACTCAGGAGGGTGAAACAGCCAAGTTTGAGGGGATATGTAGCTAAGAAGAGTCGGGGAGGGAGGACACAGCAGCCTTGGATGGCGGAAAAGGTTGCAGGGAAGCCAAAAAAGTGGGTGGGAGAGAGAGTGTGCACAGGGAAAGCCAAAACCTGCTTCAGATAGCTTATTTTGGTTCAGAACTTTGGACAGGCACTTTGCTTCCATTTGGATCGAAGTGGAACCTTGCTTTGGTTTGTTTTCTGAAGCTTTGAATGTCTTCTCCACTGATAAAGCACGGAAAAAGAAAGAAACAGAAGGAAGTGGTAGTGTTGGTAAAGGGAATTCCTGTCCCCTGGACGGGCAGGCAGTGCTTTTCTGACCAATGAGCCTGCTGCAAGTGGGCTGACATGTGAGCTCCAGTCTCTTTGCCATATGAAGGTTTGTTTTGTTTTGGGCCGCTCCAGCTGCTGCCATTAAGTGAGCCAGGATAGATTCTAGGGTGGAAGAATCCCCTTCCTTGTCCTGAACCTTGCCCTGAGATGGGAGGGGAGGAGCAAGAGGCTGCAGTCAGCGGTCCAGGGCAGGAGTGGGTGGCTGGGACATGGGCGGCAGCCCTGAGGAGGCAGCCCTGCGAGGTATGACAAACCTTCCCAACTCCCTCCCTCCCTCCGGCCTTTGCCTTTTCTCTTCTTTTAATTTGGTTGAACATCCTCAGTTTGCTACTGTGCTTCAAAGTAAATTAACCCTTTAAAAATGGTCTACTGCTCCAGAAACATAAAATTTGCCTGTCAACATTTTGCAGCATCATGTCCACATGGAAATTACTAAAGTAACAAGGAGCCAAGAAACTCACCTCCTGTTTTTTTTTCTGGTAAAGCAATTCTGCCATCTGATATAGAATCCACAAGATCCTGAAACTCTGCCGGAACATCAGCCTGCTTCCAGCGCTCGTTATCTAGCAGGAGGCTATTTATACACATAAAGGAAGGGGGAGTTCAACAATTAGAACACATTGCCTTGAAGAGCTATGTGTCCGTACTGATTTCAAATTTCTTACCAGGATGAAATCATGAAATAGTCAATTGATTCAAATACCGTATTTTTCGCCCTATAGGACGCACTTTTCCCCCTCCAAAAATGAAGGGGAAATGTGTGTGCGTCCTATGGGGCGAATACAGGGTTTTGCTGAAGCCTGGTGAGTAATAGCGGTCGGTGCGCACCGACCCCTCTCCCTCTCCAGGCTTCAGAAAGCTATGTGCAGCCCTAGGGAGCCCGGCGCGAAGCATCGCTCTGGCTCCTGTTCTGGGGTCGGGGGAAGCTCCGGCTTCCCCCGCCCCCAGCCCCGCGCCTGGGGGGGGAATAATTTTTTTCCCTTTATTCCCCCCCCAAATCTAGGTGCGTCCTATGGGCTGGTGCGTCCTATAGGGCGAAAAATATGGTACTAATCATTGTGGCAGGCATACTAAAGAAAGCTGTACTGACAAAAGCCTTATGGAAATAAATGAGAATGAAAATTCATGAGGCAGTCTGACCATCAAGAGATTTCATTCCAACTCATACATCCAGTGAGCCACATGTGTGGCCATCAGTAAGATGTGGAAAGGCATTTGTGTGAAGTGAGTTGCCATACAGTTTGGACAACTTCAACTAAACCACCTCTGTTAACTGTAACACCAAAACTGGGTAACTTTATGGGAAGCAGCTCCTCACTTTTCACATGATGCAATGTGCAGAAAGTTATTACTGCTTATGTGTACACTGGGCCTCAGATTAAACTACTGGGTTGTTTTTTTCTTTGACTGTTTATTATTGCATTTATATTCCACCTCTAAGGAGCTCCAGGTGGTGCCCATGACTCTTTCCCCCATCCTCAGTTATCCTCACAATAACCCTGTGGGGCAGGGCAGGCTGAGTGTTGGCGACTGGTCCAAGGTCACCCTGTGAGCTTCATGAAAGGGGATTTGAACCCTGGTTCCTCAGATCAGACGACACACTTTAGCCAAACAATTAGCCACCTGACTTTGCTCTGAGCTAAGTGAACAATGCCATATAACTCAGGGAAAAACCTGATACCAAATATAGGCTGGAATGGGAAGGAGTTATAAGCAACAGAAATGGCACTGTCTCAGAAACTGAGGTCAGGGTGGGCTAAACTACCCAACCCTGAGGCAGATGGCTCTTATGGAGCACATTTCTCCCACCGTTTGCCCTTTCATTCCGAAAGGTGGTGGTAGTGGGAAGCTTCAGGAGCTGTTGCGTTAATTAAGGAGCCTTGAAGCACACATGTACATAATCACAGAAAGATACCTGAGTTTGGTCTTTCTTTCCTCATGGAATCTGTTTACAAATCTGTTAGCTTGACTCTGAAGTGCACCACGCAATGACATACTCTTCCTACCACAGATTTGTTCTGTATCCAAGAGGAAAGTTTCCATCAGTCGCGAAAGAGCAACAAACTCTGTAGAATTCAATTTCTCCAGGAACCCATCCTAAATGAAAAGGTTTTGTAACAGCATCACAACTTTTTTCATTGTTATCCTACCCCATTATAAAGGCTGAAAAGGCTATGCAGTAAGGAAAGCGCCATCAGCATGGACTCTCTGATATCATTATGTCATCAGGTGATTGACAGGTGAGTGACCTGAACCGCCAACAGTTCCTCACCCTGGGCTATTGTATGAATATCATCTCAAATATAAAGCAAAGCCCTTTCCAACTTTCAGGCTATTTTTAGACATCAGGCTATTTTTAGACTGTGTTGGGTCCAGGTGTAAGGACATGATTACATTAATGACCCTAGCTGGACTCTTCTGGGACGCAGGTATATGCATGGAACTTACTTTTGCTCTAGCCATTAGGAACTTGACAGAACGATCATGGCAAATATCAGAGGCACTGTAAAGTAGGTCCTGGATATTGTTTGCTAATCTACCTAGTTCCAGTTCTGAGAGCTTTATGTCCTCACCAATCCTGAAAGAAATAGAAGGAAGACTTTGTTCACACATAATTTTCAGCTGGAACAATCCAGTGCCCCACCAGTCTGCTCAAAAAAGGAAATGATTCACATGCAACTACATAGACAATGAGAGCTTTGCATTTTGATGTCAATAACAATCTCTGAACTGGAGCAGAATTGACTTTTCAACTGTCCAATAGATAGCAGCAGCAAGTGAAGTGACAAATAATAAAGACCAAAAGACCAAAATTAAAAAACAAAAAACCAAGCAATTGATGGCCAATTACTGATCATTTAAGTCTTTTACACCGTGTTTACATTATTTACACACCATTCCACTAGAACACATTTTTGTTTAACATAGTATACACTAACCTGAGTCTTTCCAACATGCTATTTCCAGAGAGGGAAGAATATTGGCAGCTTCCACAGCTGCCACCCGCCATGAACCACCATTGGCAGGACTGGCAGCAACAGCTGCAGATATGTTCTATGCTTATGATAATATTTTATTCTCTTGTTATTTATGCCATTCTAAATGTGCATTTGATATTTTATTTCCTTTAGCAATGTTTTCTTTTTAAATGTGTAAGATGTCTGTTTTGCTTTATTTGCTGTGTTAAGTGTGCATCCCGTAGTTTATCTCCTTTGTAATGTTTTTTTCTGACATTTTTAAGATAATATTTTAGTTTCCTGTTAATCATGTTGCTTTGAATGCATACTGTATATTTGACTTTCTTCAGTAATGTTTTATTCTGGATTGTTTTATTTAATACTTAAATGTGCTGTAAACTGCATTGAGGTTTTTCCCTAAAAATATGAGGCTGTATAGAAATGAAATGGGGAAAAATATTAAAGATCTGCCTTTTGACTTGTTGAGTGGCCACAAGTGTTCTCCAACTAAGGCTGGTCCAAGATGTTACCAAATATCATGACAGGGAAAGGCTGTGGATGGCTGGTAACCTCACTGTTGTGGCGTCTATGCCTTGCTCTCTGTATAATATCTACTCTCAAACACAGGAAATTCTATGTCCATATGGTGCATCAGTGAAGCCAAAAAAGGAGGACTGAAACCCATTCCTAACTCATATGGGTGTAGAGTCAGGGAACACAGCTAGGGCTCTTAAACAGGGCAAACAGAGACCAGAGAAAAGTAAAGGTAAGAAAAGAAGAAAGAATCTGCAAAGCTCTTCAGCTGTAATTAACTGCAACTAAAAACAAAGGGCTTCAAAATTTGGAATACTTATATCATATTAGATCTGAAATGAAAATGGGAGGGACAATTTATTATCATATCATAGAGCGCAGTCATAAATTTATATCATCACATTCAAAAGAGAAGCCAAGTTAATGGCTGAGGCTGAATGAGCAGACTTCCATTCACACACCGTGACTTCCCCTTCTTCTCTTCTCCCCTGCAGCCTTCCTGCTTCTAACATCTTCTCTGCAGTGTCCCCATAAGACCCTGTTGGGTACAACCTACAGAATGCTATGAAACTGAAGGTGTTAGACTCAAGAGTTGAGAAGCCAACATGGGCAGAATATGCATTAAACTTGAAACTGAGTTTTAGGCTCACATTTTTAGAGCATCTGGGAAAGTTTACTTTCAATTTCAAATTTAAAAGCAGTGAATTTGTGCTAATTTCGTTAATTTGTTTAGCTGCAGCGGGGACTGAATCCTGCTTTTTTTTTTTTTTTTTTGCTACCTACATGATGTCAATTCCACCTGGTGTAATGCTGGACGAAGTCTGTTCCTTGCTAGATGAGGAGTCAGTGGTACATTCTGGCTCAGATACAGAGTCACTGCTGCTGGGCTCACTGTCTGGGGAAAGGTTTCTCTGAGAGGCAGAATAAGCTGCTGCAGACAGGAGGTCTCCTTCACTGAAGGCATCACTTATGAACATGCCCTCATGCGCCAGATACACCAGTTCTGCGTCTATGGTACTGTCCTTTGCAGAGTTCTTCTGAGCAGAAGTATCACCCAGTTCCTTGCTCCTCTGGTTCTTGTCTAGAACCAAGAGAACCACTCTTCTGATAACATTTAGTGTTGCCTAAGATAAAATAAGTGCTGGTTAAAAAAATTGAGACAGTGCTGAATTCCTTGAAGAGTACATCTTTTAGCAAGAATGTTTCTATTTTAAATACTGCAAAATCTGAACACAACAGAATGATTATGTTTACATCATTTATGCTGCCCCATAACATCTTCTGTCACTTGCTAAATGCAATAATCATGGTGGTTCATATGAATTCTGCAAAAAGTGACTGGCAGACTTTTAAAACTAAGGCCAATAAATTTATGCCACTTACGCCATTAGGCCATTTCCCCAAATATTTTTCTAAAAGGATAAAACATGAAACATTAATAATGATAGTGTTATCTTTCAGGGCTTGATCTAAGGTACGGTATCAATTTCAGAGTTCTAGAATTATCAGCACGTAGAGAGATTTAATTGATGAAGAAATTCACAATATTTTCCCACACCACAATGCTGAATCTAGTTTTGTTACACTGTAGAGCTAGGGATGGAAGGAAACAGTGATTTCCGCACCACCCTGCGTTCCTCACAATCAGCACCGTTTCTTGTTCTACTGCAGTTTAGCTTCTCCTAAAATCTACATTATTCATCTCGCTATCTGCTCTGTCTGAAACTAGTGTAGTTAATTGCGTAATTAACGCCAATAAATTCCAATGGAAGGGAGACATAAAAAAATGTAGAAAATAATGCAATCATGTAATATTCGCACAGTAAAAAGATTGTGAATACAGCTTATACAGTCATACCTCGGGTTACAGCCGCTTCAGGTTGTGTTTTTTTGGGTTGCGGACTGCCGAAACCCGGAAGTACCGGAACTGGTTACTTCCGGGTTTCGGCGGTCGCGCATACGTAGAAGCGCTAAATCGTGCTTTGCACATGCGCAGAAGCGCCAAATTGCAACCCATGTGTGCGCAGATGTGGGTTGCGAACGCTGCAGGTTGTGAACGTGCATCCCGCACGGATCATGTTCACAACCCGAGTGTCCACTGTATTTGCTTGTATGATTTCCATTCCTGACCTCAGAGGAACATGTGAATTGTGGTAATTTTCACTTCCATTTCCAGCTGTACAAATAAATTATAATGCCATACAAGGATACAATTCATTCAGAAGTGTACTGTAAATCTAACAAAGGAGGGTAAAAATTAACACTCAGCTGAAGCAATACCTCTGGGTAGCTTATAGGCAGGAGCCTTAAGGCTTGATCTCTCAATTTAAAATTTGATTCTCCTAAGAGGCCCCAGGATGTCAGCGATTCAGCTTTGAAGAACAATTAACCTGCCAAAGGGATTATGCTCTGAGCAAGGGGCAGTGAAGTATTGCCTGAGATTCAGTCTGCCTGCTTTTGGATAATGGCAGAGGACTCTCCAATGCCTTTCATGAAAACTCACTCAGCTGATGCAAGAGATCCAAGTCCAAATGTATCAAAATTCAATTGGTTTAATAACAATATAAAGTCTATAAAGTACACTTCTTACCTTAATTCTCTTGAGAAATAAAATAAAATTAGAAAATATATCTTTCAGTAGATCAAACCACTGTGGAAAATTCATCATCCTCATTTGATCTGCAAGTCTATGAAGAATACCATATAACAATAATTACAATTTCATTTAAACTCAGTTTAACTCTCATCCTGTAAGGTGGCCTTGGGTACATCCTTGCCAGTTCGGTCTTCAGCGTCTCAGGCTCAGCTTCCAATCTCTAAAAAGGTATATTAAGGTCCACCTCACAGTGCTATTATTATGGTGAATGATACAAAGACTAACAGTACACCTCGGGGGGGGGGGGGGAATGCATAATAAAAATGATGAAGAAGATCAACATTAAATTATGTTTACATAATTTCTGTAGCAAAATTTGTATTCTGAGGTTTCAGAAACTGAAGACTTTCAGGAACTTTGCAGATAATTCTGTAGTACATGTAAAGCTAAAGGGACCCCTGACCATTAGGTCCAGTCGCAGACGACTCTGGGGTTGCGGCGCTCATCTCGCTTTACTGGCCGAGGGAGCCAGCGTACAGCATACAGTCATGGGGCCAGCATGACTAAGCAGCTTCTGGCAAACCAGAGCAGCGCACGGAAACACCGTTTACATTCCCACTGGAGCTGTTTATCTACTTGCACTTCGTGCTTTCGAACTGCTAGGTTGGCAGGAGCTGGGACCGAGCAATCATGGTTTATCCTGATGAGAATAAGCAGCAGGTGGTCTCAGCTCCCACACTTCATCCTCCCCTCTCCTCCAGGAGGAGATTTAAAGCTTTCACTTCTATTTTTTGATTAACTGGAGTTTATCATTACATCTGAACCCTAAACAGAAGCTAATCTTAACTATGGTTTGTTGAAACAAGCCAGTTTCACAGCTTGATGCTTGAGTTCACTTCTTTCAACAAACCATTCTTAAGATTGGACTTCTGAACTGTACATAGTTTGAACTCAATAAAACCTGTAAAAGACAAGTCGGAGTCCTGGCTGTTTACTTGCGAGCAACCACCTACAGACCTGAAAGCGTGTTTTTAACATTTTGTTGGGAACTGCCCAGAGTGGCTGGGGCAACCTAGCCAGATGGGTTGCAAGTAAGTAAGTTCATTATTATTATTTATGCTTAGTAGCTGCTAGACATGTCATAATTTGTTCACTTGTACTATATGTTTATAAAATTAAATTGGTCTTCCTGCCAACTAAATCTTTGTCATTTTTGAAAGGTAATATCACAAATTTTATAGTCTCTTATTTAGTATACCTAAAATTATTAGGCGCTACCCCACATTTTCTTTTTAAAAAATCATCTGTACAGGAAACTACCATGGAGTTATCAACATTTTCAAAAGTATGGGGTCCATGGCTTGGCTTTTGAAAAACTAGCTAATTGGGAACCACTGATGTATAGGATTGCAGCCTTAACGTAAGTTTTTCAAAATTCATTCTCTCTCTCTCTATGATGAGCAGAGGAAAAGGAGATAAAGCTTTGCACCTTTAATGCCATGTAGGAGAGAGAATTTCAGAAAGTGTATCTTGCGTGACCTGCCATTTTCACCTCTGCTGTTTGCACATGATCAACACATTCACTCTTTCAAAGTTATAGGAATTATGCTAAAAGCACAGATGCCAAGAAGAAGTAAAAAGCATGTGGACAAAATTGGTAGGCAATTCACGGATAGAGAAGCAAATGGTAAATCTAGTTCATGGCAACTCAAAGCTTTATACTTTATACTTACTTAACAACCACGTCTGTGTCTATTTCTTCTATTTGTGACACTGTATTAACCACACACTGCAAAGATATAAGAAAAATATGTCTTAGAATTAAATTTGGAGAGAAAGCTTTCTACCCCTGAATCAGACACTTCCTGATTATCCTAATATTCAGAGCTGAAATAATAAAAACTTCACAATGGAAAATGAAATTGGACCACACATGCATTAGGCAAGTCTGCTCACAGATCACCTTATTCAGCTTTATTTTCCTCCTGCTAATTATTGTGATGTGTGAAGAATGATGCAGGAAACTGAAGTCCAGGTTTAAGGACTGAAGCCCAGGCCACTGAAAATGTTCACTCAATCCTGCCTATGGTTTCCAAATACCTTTTTAAAACATTTGATAAGTTGTCCTGAATGGGTAAGTTTTGTACCCTTCAAACATTATTCTGAGTGCCTATTCATACATTACTATGAGAGCACTATATGTTACACATTCACATTTTAAGTGTAATTCATGTGTGTCACATTCATTTTAAGTGTATGTGTAAAAATCTTATGTGTACAGTAAAAAAGGAAAGATAATGAAACCCTGAAATGCACCAAGTATTGCCTACAGCAGGGGTAGGCAACCTAAGGACCGTGGGCCGGATCCGGCCCAATCGCCTTCTCAATCTGGCCCGCAGATGGTCCGGAAACCAGCGTGTTTTTACATGAGAAGAATGTGTGCTTTTATTTAAAATGCACCTCTGGGTTATTTGTGGGGCATTTCCCCCCCAAAAAATATAGTCTGGCCCACCACATGGTCTGAGGGATGGTGGACCAGCCCACAGCTGAAAAAGGTTGCTGACCCCTGGCCTATAGCCTTTCAAAGCTTCTCCTTCTTTGCTTCATTTCTAGTGTATGCTAAGCCTGAAAAGACTGTCCAAAATAAGCCAGTGTGTTTAGTACCCAAAGAATATAAAATCTTTTCAATGCTAGGATGAAGATGATGTCTCTTTTCCCAAAACAGCACAGAAGATTCAAGGAAGATTGGGCAGAGCTAAACTAAAGAGGAGAGCAATAAATGGCAGGTGCGGGAAGCCCAATCCAGATTGGGATAGATGCAACGGTGGTATTTTAGAGCAGCCTTCCTCACCTTGGGTCCCCCAAAGCTGTTGGATGACAGCTCCCATCATCCCCAGTCAGAAGGCCAGTGGTCAGCGATTATGGTACTCCATTATTTACAGCTTATAAAAAATACATCTATTTTTAAAATCTAGATTATTGTTTCAAACAACAATCAATAAGCAAAACATATGATAAATCAACAAAGTATATCCATTCTTTGGGCTTTGTATAACTCATGATAGAGAAAGAAAACCGGTTTAGATACCTGGAAATATCAGAAGACCTGAAGACATACATAAAACCAGTGCTTTTTTTCTGGGGGGACGAATGCCCCTAAACATTTTGTGAAACTATGTACTTTTTTCCATTTCCTGTATTTATTTTTCCCAATTTGAACTATAAAATGGTGATTTTCTTGAATCAAAATGAGAGTACCCCTAAATATTTTTTTTAGAAAAAAGCACAAAAAAACACAAAACATTTAACTACTATATACGTGAAAGGTAAAAATCCCTCAAAAATAAATTACCTGTTTAATTATATTTTTTGCCGTTACAATAATTTCATCTCCATATATTTCAAAAAAATTCAATTTCCTTTGTTTTAGAAGTCCAAACACTAAAGATACAAGCCTTTCCTATTTAGAAAAAAAAACAAGAATAAAGATCACATGTGAAAGAAAGGTAATCAGAACTCAAATGGCAGATTAGAACCTTACTAGTGCAGATAAATTAACATGCTAAATAGCAAATCTGTTGGAAAGTACAATAGGAGTTAGTCTCTGTACTATTAAGGTCAAGGTTTGATTCTGGCCCGGCAGAAATTATTGGCTGCTGTAGAAGCCATGTGCTACAGATGTATACTTTGCATTCATCCCCACACACTATACACAGAAGCTAGTTCTGCTAAGGACAATACAGGGTATGTATTTGTGCCTTCCATGAATGAAGGAGTGGACAAGTGGTATGCATTATGACACAGCTGAGAAATAAAAAAGAATTGAATGGAAAATGCCAAAATTAATGCTTTCAAATCACTGAGAGGATTCAAGATGTGTTGGTGAAAACTCATTTTGTAGAGGAGAAGTGAATGGAATAGGCATTGACAGCAGTGTGTTCTGTTCTATGTCCTGAGAGGCAATTAGACCGCAAAAAGCCTTCTAAATGGGGAGTACTGTACCTCTTCCAGAATCTGACATTCTTCTTCCAGAGGTCTATTTAAGTCACTGTGAGCATAGGTAGAAAACTCTGCAATCATCATTTTATCTATGAGTTTTTCTAATTCACATAGCTGTGATCCAAGATGCCTGTTCAAGAAAAAAATGTGTGAAAAAGTTAAAATAATTATGGGAGGGAGCATGAAAGTGCCATTATCTCTATATCAGTAAAATATGGGGATGTATAAGCATCATCTGGGTAATTTCTACACAATAAATAAAGGACACTGAATACAGTTTATTTACGTTATGTCTTCCTTTGCAGCAAAAGAAAAAAAAACACTTTTAAATTCCACTGTGACATTAATGTCAGACATCTCCATGAAAAGAGAACAATTTGCTATAAAATATGCATTCTAATTACACACTTCATGAGTAACCAGAGACTCTTGAGAACTCAGCAGTCATGGGAGATGTTGACAGGTCCTCTTAGGGATCAGTAGCTGGCTAAAAAAACAGGAAATAGAGGGCAAGAGTAAACTGACTTCTAACAGTGGAGGTATGCATGCAGTAATGCTTCCCCAAAGATATTTATTGAGGTGAGAGCTATCTATTTTTTTCAATAAAGAGATGGAGTCAGAAGGGGCAGTGAGAAGACCAAGTTTGTAGAATGCAAGGAGATCTAAAAGGATTTCTAAAATCTGGGCAAACGGAAAACAAAAAGGTAAATAAGAACCAACGCATGGAGAACAAATCTAAAGGGGCACAATTATTAGTCCAGCAAGAGAGCATCACGGGAATAAAAAAGCTGAGCTCCATTCAATGACTATTAGAAAAGCGTTTAACACCCTGACACAAATCTAAGGGAAAGAAATATCTGGAGCACTAGACTGATTTCTGTTCGACGTATCTCAAAAAGGATGACTATCTTCACTCTAAGAAAGGCTTAGAAACAGGGTTTCTCAAACACCTGAACCCTGGATGAGCTTATGAAGTTCTCAATGACCCAGTGTAAATGAATAAAGTGAGGAAAAGCACCTATAGACAATTTTTTTAGTAGCAAAGCAGCACGGTCTGAGAATATGGTTGTATTGTGGAATCATCTTGTTAAATACAGAGGTTCCTCACTGGCAAGGGATGCTCACTCTGCGCATGACATGCCCTTTTCTGCAAGCTTCTTTTCCACCCCTAATTCATTTTGAGCCATAGGTCTTTATTCACTCCTTGCACAGCCCCATCAAGCCCAGGAGTCATTATCAGCCACTTTGGGAAACCCTGGACTAAAATATAAAGGACCTTTTAGTCTAGAAAACAAGATTTTTTTGGAGGGAGGAGTGTGACAGTGCTTCATTAAATTATGGATGGTGTGGAGGAAAATAGACAAAGACAACTTTCCACCTTCTCTCATAAAACTAGGTGACCTGTACTCAACCATTGATCTTGATTGGCCTATATTTGGGACAGAGAGGAAGGGCAGTCTGAATACCCTTTACTTTTGCATTTATGTGGTGTACAGCTATTAATGTAAATAAGACTTCACACTATATCAAGGATACTTTTAGGGCCTTTTAAAAAAACTGACTAATTACATTCTCACTGGACACTAATATACTGTAATATAATTAACAATATAGTAAATTAGTTCAACTCAATAACATATATAAAGATACCAGTTATAGGTGGTATGCAGCCAAGCTTTACTCACTTAGTCGTATCGATTAATTTCAACAGCTCTACTCTAATTTAGTTGAATACCAACTTAGATCTGCATGAACTAGATGTCCCTTGAAACTGATCATAATAATTTTATATGTGATTACGAATTTCTATTGGAATGTCAAACGTCACCTACCGGAAACTGTGAATGCCCTGGAGCTCCTGCTGTAGCACCTCTTGTGTTGTCGCGATCAAGTCTAACGCTCCAACAAATTCAGAAGTGGACAGTAATAGTTGTACAGTAGGTTGTGTTTGGTGCACTGTTGCCATTAACTTCAGTTTATTATATGCTTTTATACAGTTATTTCTAGTCAATGATAATCTTAAAACTTTAAGAGATCCTTCACACATTACTTTATCAATTTGGCCTATTTTATCTCGAAGCATTTTTACAGCCTGTGAGGTTTTCCTGAGGTAGTCTTGCAGCTCATGCTGGGAGGTCATGGCATGAAAAAATGCTTCTGAGCGGAGAGAGATTTGATGAGCGATGTTTACTTCCACAATATCCAGATAGTGGCTCAGCTTGAGGGAAGAAAGAGAAATCAATATTGTAACATTTGTGCTCTTAACCTACCACAATCAGTGTCACAACACCAGACATTTAACTCAAGTAAAATGGGCACGCTGCCTTTACAAATCACACATGCACATACCCAGGAACACAGACCATATTTAATGAACACTGGATTTAAAATTAAACAAAGAAAAACAAGGAAAAAAGTATACAGCATGACACTGGAGGTGTATTTCAATCTTCCTGAACGTTTAAGAACAGGCTTGAAAGCTGCCATTCTTCAAGGAGGAAAGTTTCAAAATGAGACTTCAGCATGAACTGGCTAAGTTGGAATTAATTTGCAGATTTGATACTTTCAGATCAATAATGACTGGAAGTGTCTTGTGCACCACAATATTATCTTCCATTAAAAGTTCATATACCCTATTTAACTTGCTTTTGCCGATTCATTACAAGTTTGAGTAATGAATACCCACTTTCCTGTTAAGATATTGTAGAATCATAGAATTGGAAGGGACCCCAAGGATCATCTAGTCTAACTCCCTGCAATGTAGGAATCCTAACTAAAGCATCCAGGACAGACTTCTGCTTAAAAACCTTCAAGGAAGGAGAATCTACCACCTTCCCAGGGAGTCCATTCCACAGTTGAACAGCTCAGTTCACTTATATCATGCTCACTTACACGCTAAATTGTAATGTGGCATTCTTAATTTTCTGCACTGCCTTCTGGTCTCACTATGTAATAAGAACTTCTCACTGTCACCCACCATTCTTTGGGCTGCACTCAATTATATCTCTGATGTGCGTCAGACTATTTCCCACGGCAAAACTGGTGTGGGTTTTCTACTGCTGAACAAAGATGGCTTCCCCATTTTTGCTCCTTTATTGATACAAAGTTATTCCCAGTCAGTTGTTCATTTTTGCCTCCTACCTATGCTTCATGTAAGCTTTCAAATTTAAATGTATTTTCAGGTGTCTGACATGTTAATCCACCTCAATGTGTGTTCAGTGCCTTTTTAGAAAGCAACAATCTTTTTTTCGAACACCTCCTTTTTTTTACTGGAGGCAGGAAGAGTCTTCAGAATCTACAACCATCCAATCAGCACTCTGCCCAGCTGGCTTCTCTTTGAAACAGAAAGAATCTGGGCTCAATTAGCGCTGATAGTCAACTGATATAGTGGTTACGGCGTCAGACAAGGATTATGGAGACTTTGTTCAAATTTTCACTCTGACATCAGACTCGCTGACTAACCTACTTCATAAGGTTGTTGTGAAGATAAATGGGAGGAAGGCAGAATCACAAATCCCACCTTGAGCCATTTTGAGGAAAGGCAGGATAGAGATGGAATAAACATAAATAAATAAATAAATTGTGCATCCATCCTAAATGGGGTAACGGCAGATTAAGAGCCTTTGATATCAGAAATGATATCAGTATCAAGCAAGGATCAAGCAACACTTCAAATGTTGATAAAGTGGCTTGCCTTAAATGCTTATGCCACAATCCATTTTTAGGGTTTAATGTTCTTAACCTTCCAACAGAAACAACCAACAGTCCTTTATAATATCTATATATTATAGAGTGGCTGGGGCAACCCAGTCAGATGGGCAGGCAACAAACAAACAAACAAACAAACATTTTATTCTGAAAGAGCTCAACCAGAATTACACAAGCCAAGAAAATATGCACCGTTAGCATCTTAATAAAGAAACTTCCATTGCACTGATCAAATACCTGCTATGGAAACAGTTTATTCAGTGCTTTTTTTCTAGAAAAATAGGTGCTGGTACGCACCATGAAGTTGTTACAATAAATGTCAGTGTTTTTTAACAACAACAAAAAGAGGTGCTGGTTCTATGTCCCCTTGAGTACCCCATGGGGGAGAAAAGCACAGAGTTTATTTACCTTTTCTTGAAGCAACTTTGAGGAAGCTGCATCACGATTTCCTTTGCCTCCAGTAGTATTAAAATGAGACCAAGGTAATACTGCATTAAATGTAAGGGGATCTTCCAAGGCAAAATCTGGTTTTAAAAAAATCTGAAAAAAGAAGTCAATCACATCTCATTACCACACACCACTAATGTTCCCACCTTTACCTGTATAGTGCAGACCCCCATTCCTCAACCTTGTGGACAAAGGAGGAAAGAAGGGGAGATCACACAAATCTGAAGCTTGCTGTGGTACATTATTGCATTGGGCCTATGTATGTGTGAAATATGTACGGATTATTGTAGCAAAGGACAAAAATGAAATAAAATGTGACTATAGTGTTAATGTGAATAGTTAATCTTCAGAATCTAGCAAAAGAAACAACTTCAAAAAGAGGAAGATTGCTGAAAACAACTGGAATTGATGCATTTTGATAAGTTGCCTAAATTCTGCATACTTTGTCACATATAAGAGTATGATAAGCTATGCTAAAATATGTATCTCTATTCTGTACACCGCCCTGAGACCTGCGAGTATAGAGCGGAATATAAATTCAATAAATAATACATACAGCCCAAATAAATTAATAAGCAAAATACACGAGCAAAGCATTTCTTCTTACAGCTATGAAAATCTCCATCATACCTTAGGTACTTGCTCCAGATCTGTCCTGGATTTATCTAAAAATAAAATGCCGCAACAAATAGAAGATTCAAATTACATATTTCCACAGTAAACTCCAATTGCTCATTCATTTTCAATTTTATGAAACATACAGGCCCTTATTAAACTTTGGAATGTTTCTGGATTTGGTTTCAGATTGAATATACACAAGTAAGAAAAATCTGAACTCAGCCATTTTAGATAAATAGAAGAAAATATTATTAAAGCAAATATTCTCCTTTGTAGATTGAAGAACCATCTCAGCAGGCAGTGGGGAGGCAGGTATTCACCTCTTTCACTCTCTAGCCATTGGAGAGTTGAAAAGACAGGGTACATGAGAGAGGTGTATAAAATTATGCATGGCATAGAGAAAGTGAATACAGAAATGTTTCTCTCTCTCTCTCTCTCTCTCTCTCTCTCATAAATACTAGAATTTGGGGGCATTAAATGAAGCTGAATTTTCGAAGATTCAGGGCAGACAATTTGAAATATTTCAGTCAGCTAGATGTCGTATTTTATTTACCAAGATATTGGGTGAAATTAGAAATTTTAATTGCTGTCTTCACTGTAATTTATCTTTGCTTGCTTTATGGTGAAGCTGTTGTTTTATTAGCCCCATTTTTCTATACTCTGTCATTTCTGTATATTGTTATCTTTTTCCTGCATATTTTATGACTACCTTACTTCATTGTTCCCCGCTCAGGGACTCAAATTATCCAATGAAGAGTGAAATTCGGGACATATGGCAGCCCTAGTAAATTAAAGAGAATGACTACGCAGCTACAAGAAAACCTGTAACCTACCATGAGTATGTAACAGTGTCCTATCAAAAGTATCTTTAGGAGGACAAATGGTCTTGCATCTCTCATGAATCTTTTCTCTCTACAAAAGGTGAAGAAAATTCTGTGTTTGAAACATTTTTTCCCCACAGCACATTATTTAAGTTTCCTATGCAAAATGAAAATTGACTGACAAATTAAATCTATTATAATGCAATTGTGTAATTCAGGACTGCATTCCTATTAATAAAATATAGTAAAGATTAAAATATATATATCAAGGCCAATTTTTCTTATACCTTTAACTAAAGCTGACATCCTATGCGCACATACCTGGGAATAACGCCTACAATAGCTCTTATTTCTGAGTAGCCATGCATAGGACTGGGCTATCCTCTGAAGGTTGACTTCCCCAACCTTAGGTCCACATATGCTGTTGGACTGCAACCCCCATTATCTCCATGGCTGGTGGGACATATCGTCCCAAAGCACCTGAGGGCCTAAGGCTTCTTTGTAAGGTTTAGCACTAAAGTACTCTTCAGGCCTTCATCCTGAACATGCAAGGGGGGGTGGGGAGTGCAGGGGACTGGTGTCCGTGTGTCCCACAACTTTTGTGTGTACAGCAGCACCAACCCTCCACTCTCCATCTTAGTGTGCTTAGCATGAAGGGGTCTTCTATGCAAATCCAACTGGACAGACTTAGAAGCCTCCCCATGATCAGGAACTCTGGATTATTGGTTTCCTACTGCAAGGAAGCTTCCAAATTCATTCAGTCAAATGCATCTTGAAGTCCTCTTCAGACCTTGCTCCTCAAACTGAGAAGGGCTAGGTAGAGTGTGTGCAGACACATTCAGAGTAGAGTAACTGTTCCAAGCTTTTAGCCCTTGTGCACAGAGAGCTTGTACTTCTTTCATCACGCTGCTTAAAAATAGGAAAAACTGTTTAAATGAACAAGTCGTGTTTCTCCTCCCAGCATATGGAATCTTTTAAAAAATGTTCATATAGTACTGTGTGTGTGCAACAAATGTAAAAAATTCCATTAAGTGTGGGCCACTTCAGATGTAACAGGAAACCACAGTTTTGTGTAGCTAAACTATGGTTTGCTTGTACATCCTCATGGTTTTCTATGAGGCTAACAAAACAGGATCTGAAACACTAGCTCAAAGCTGGCTTTGGCTGACAAGTTAGCATTAACTTTTTAAAAAATTGTTTAGCATGAACTGTGCTCATCCTCTGCCTGCCTGGTCTGGCAGAAGATTCCTTTTCCTGCTCACCTCCTCCCTCTCAGTCCCTCACCAACCAAGCAATTTAGGTCCTAAGCCAGCTTGCAAGAAGAAAAATAAACAGTGAAAGAACTTAAAGAGACAAATACATTTTTATCATCTTCTGTGAGGTAGCAAATTAAACTGCACAGAATACGCAAAAAAAGTCAGTCAGCATTCCATTGCCACTGAGCAGACCCAATCCTCATTAGGCTGTTTTGAGGCACTATGGGTTCTTTCTTTCTTTCTTTCTTTCTTTCTTTCTTTCTTTCTTTCTTTCTAGCTTTGGGTTCCCCCCAACTCTCCTTTTTCCGTGCTTATTTGCTACAAAAGCAACAGCACTCACAGCCTGAACATCAGAAATAGACAGGTCTATCATAGGATTTCTCTTTTACCTGAACAATTTCCTGTTGGTATGTTACAAAAAATTCCTTGCTGATTTGTGGGAGGTAGAGCGAAGGCACAACTTCAATGTCCACAAAATCCTGTCCCCATGTTTTTGTAAAGAAATCAGATTCCCTTTTTGTTAACCGAGGATCATTCAGTGCTGCTGGGAGATTTACTTTGGAATGATAAATAGTCCATCTATGTTGATCAGCAACTAAAGATGGACTGTCACATAAACTATTAGGATCACCTGAAAGACAAAACAGTAACTTGAAAGAGGCATGCATTTTTTCCAGCAATGACAAGATAAAATCTGCAGCATAATTTCAGAATTAACTATACAAATAAATATCTTAAGAAGATATTACACTCTAATTATGTACTGCAGGACTGCTCTGCACCTTTGTCTTTAGACTGAAATATATCCATCTTATCTTAATATTGCTTTTAGCATTCAGGGTAGAACAGAAAACTCTGACCTCTCCAATGTTGGCAGTGAGGTAGCAGATACAAATCTCCATGCAGCAGGTAATTTCAGGTATCAGAGAAATGAAGCATATTAACAATTGTTATCTTTGTGCATTTTGCAAAGCCTCACAATGACAGACCTACAAATCTTCTACACATTGAAACAGTCATCATGTAATTTACTATTGTTTGCTCCTTTCAAAGGTACAAAAAAATTTTAAAATAGCAGAACCTAAGAGTATAATTAAGAGAAGAATTAGAAGACAATGCAGCATTTCAAGAGTTACATAAGCCTGAAATTGATTTTAATTGTTTTTGCTATAAAAACAATCTTACTGAAATTGATTTATTACTCATCCAGCATGTTCTTTTCATTCAAGCTCACATAGGCTATCAAGTTTAAAGCAAATATCCGAAATTTAAACATTTACTGTTTTTTTATGTCTGTAGTAATATGCAACTGTGCAATAAACAAACTAATGTCAATTCACTATTTAAGGATTGTATCTGTCTAAGTCACACTCAGAAAAGATCCCCTGAAATCACTAGAATGTAGTTTGTCATGTCCACAGAGTTCAACAGGTTCAACAGGTACACAATGTTTAACAGCATAACCTTTACCATGCCTACCCTGCTAATGACAGGCGTCTCTCCACTTACGCGTGTTCAACTCATGTATACACGCAGAGCTGGTAAATAATTAAATAAATCTATTTAAACTGCAAAAATGTGCGAAAGGGGAGGCCTGTGGAGAGTTGGAGTTTAAGAAAAGAGGTTTGGAGGGAGTGATTGTGCTGGAGTTTGGCTTTTTAGATGGTGTTCTATACATGTTGTCATGTGTACTTGTGGTACCTGGGAACATAACCCTCATTTAAGTGGGGACACGCGTGTATCAAACACAGATGTCAGTTTCCATGAGATATGGTGTGTGTATGGGGAGAGGGAGAGGGAGAGAGTTAAGGGTAAGGGTCTAGACCTAGTAACTTTGAGATCCCACCTGGCGCCTTCATTATATATCTTTAGGTGCCACAAAAAAATGTTCCTCTTCAACCAGCCCTTTGGTTGATTAACATTCTATGTCCTTTTAAATGTGTTTGTGAGAGGGGGGTTATTGGTGTGTTTTGGTTTTGTTCTTGTTTCTTTTGTTTTTGTTTTTATGCTGTATGTATGAATGTACGGTATGTATTAAATTTGTATACAAATTTAATACATACATACTGTAATGTGGCACTCAACAGCTTTTCAATGGGGTAACGTGGCACTCAGCTTGGAAAAAAGTTAAGCCAATTTTGTTAGAGACACTTACCTGTTGGTTCCTTGGGACATACATCTGGCAGCGACTGCACTGGTCGAAAGCGTTTGGCAGAATCCACTTCCCTTTTAATGAAAGCATCACTGCTCTTTGATGGAGGCACTGGTGAAGACCGGTGGCTTGAGGCCATTGCATATAGTCACCACTGGTTAAGTACTGAATGAAAAAGAGATAACATGTATTCATAAACATCTTTTTAGATATTATGGCAGGCTGATGGCAATTATAATATGACAACCCAGTTATAGAAACTGAAAGTTAAGGTAAAAAAGGAGATAAAATGGTTTAGAAAAATGTAATGAGACAACTCCATACAGTCTTCTTTATGTTTAATGAATACAGTGGTACCTCGGTTTTCGAACATAATCCATTCGAGAAGACCATTCAAGTTCTGAAACATTCAAAAATCGAAAACTCAATAGCCGACAGCTAGGCCTCAGGATCTTGCACTCAGCGGAAGCCGCATTTCTGTTCGACTTCTAAGGCATGTTCAAAAACCGAAGCATTTACTTCCAGGTTTATGGCATTCGAAAACTGAAATGTTCATCAACGGAGACGTTAAAAAACCGACATACCACTGTATTTGGAAGAATAGTGTGGTATTTTCAAGTGATTTAATTGCAGTATTTATCCACTGGGTGTCATTGGTGACCTTAAGTAGACTCTCTTTTAGAAATATACATAATTGTTATGCATTATGTGTGGTATATTAATAACTATTATCAAATATGGGACTATCAGTCCATTAAGATACATACAAATAAGGCTAGAGCAGTTTTTAGATAAGTTAGGGAAAACAAATGGCCAAGATCAAATCAAATATACCAGATACCTATTACTTCAATTTAACAATGGTCATAACAGCCCACTGGTTAACAAATGATACCCATGGGGCTTTTTTCTTTCTAGGAAAAGTTTTGAGTACATGCTAACAATAAACCTTCATAAACCCTTTTTCTTCAACTAGTCTTCATCTAGTTCACTGAATGCAACCAGGTTCTACCTTCCTGTAGAATTTTCTAAGATGGAAATGCTGATTAATTGAACATAAATCATCAATTTGTGATTACTGTAGACAGATACCAACATGCTAGGGAAGAGACAAGTGGGATAAGCAGTCTTTGTAAGATATTCTGGAAAAAGTATAATGCTTTTGCTTTCAACTTTCTCGTCGTCATCTTCCTCCTCTCCCTTCTACCGTGCACAATCACCTTATTCCCTGCCAAAGGTGAAAAGCTTAATTTCAGTAACAAAACAGAAACATAACAGGAAGAGTAAATGTTTCTAGTTGAAGTCATCTCACTAGACCAATAAACCAGTCCTAAATCAGCAGCAACATGATGCCACACTAAATTATTCACAGCTAACAGCTATTTGAGTATAGTCATAAATTTAGCATCACTTGGTTAGAGCCTGGTGCTGAGAACACCCAGGTTGCAGGTTTGATCCCTATAAAGGACAGCTGAATATTCCTGCATTGCAGGGAACTGGACTAGATCCTCTGGGTCCCTTCCAACTCTACAATTCTATGATTCTATGATCTTATAAATAACTAACCTCAGCAAGCCACTGTACACACCAGTCTATTCACACAACAACAAAAAGAACAAAATGTCACAATTCCTAATTGCTCTAGTAAAATAGTATCAAAAGGGAAAATATCAAAGTGTGCTCCACAATTAGCAATTACGTGGTAAAAATCATTTCCGTTACATCTTAGACCTGTGCAGGACATTCAAACTAACTATTTGTGAAGAATGGCCCCAGCTTATTAACTAAGATGCTTCCTCATATTGCAATGTTAAGTTTTCTAATTTAGATAACAACAGCATCCTTCTGAATTTAGTGAATATTTTTTTCAAATATGCAGTAATGCACAAGCCTTCCAATTCAAATCTCATCACAAAGTAAAAGTGAAATGAACACAAAACAAAACCTCACAAGAAAATCTGAAGTATCACCAACAGAAAATACTTTAATTGCACTCCTACATTAGACTGCAACTGTATCCTGTAGTCATACCTCAGGTTGCGTCCGCTTCAGGTTACGTGTTTTCGTGTTGTGTCCGCAGCAACCCGGAAATACCGGAACGGGTAACTTCTGGGTTTTGCCACTTGCGCCTGCACAGAAGCGCTAAATCACGCCATGCGCCTGCACAGACACAGCGCTTCAACTTGCGTCAGTTCCGTGTTATGGACAGGCCTCCGGAATGGATCCTGTCCATAATACGAGGTTCCACTGTACTTCTACATAGATGCAGAAACTATAGCTTACATTCATGGGCATAGCCTGGATTTTTGTTGGACGGGCCAGGCTTTGTTGGGGGGAAAGGCTTTTGTTAGGGGGGCAGATTTGTATTGGTTTTTATTGATTTGGGGAGGGAACTGCCCCCCTGCGGCTACGCCCATGCTTAAGGTAGGCATTGATATGGCTCCAGAAACTAAAATATGAACTTCGATTAATCACAGCTCATATAATAAACTTTGCTGAACATTTATTTTTATTATATTTCCACCTAACTGTCATTCCATTTTCACTGGCAAGGCTAACATACAAATGTTCCAGTTTTAACATTTGGAAGATCTTTTTAAGAACTCATATTTCAGTGCCTGAAAATTATTCATGTTGATATTACTTCCCTCACTGATGTAATAACAGTAGTCTGTCAAATTTTAGATCAATTAAATTAACCTAATACTGATCTAAGCTACGTCTTAATGAAACACATTGCAGTTATTGCAAGCAAAGCATCTGGAATCCATAGGCAAATATACATAAATAATCCCAAATAAATTCCCTGAAATTCAGGGACTCATTGCTTATTCCAAAGCACACAGTTTCAGTAAATGCAATGATTGCCCTTGTCCAAGTCAAGAAAGCGAGTAAGAGCTGTCTGCACATCCAAACTTCCAAACAGCTCTGAGCTGAAGCCAAAGTGTTTTACCCTGAAAGTTCCTCATACTGCTTAATTTAAACTGTTTATAAAGTATATATGAACAGTATACAAGTTAAGACACCAGCTCCTAAATTTAACCTGCAGGATTACTCATTTGTTTGTTTGTTTGTTTGAATTCATTGCAGGGTCTGCTATGCTTACATGTCAAATAGGTAGAATAGAAGCGAAATCAAACTAAATAATAATACCGTATTTTTTGCTCTATAAGACTCACTTTTTCCCTCCTAAAAAGTAAGGGGAAATGTGTGTGCGTCTTATGGAGCAAATGCAGGCTGCACAGCTATCACAGAAGCCAGAACAGCAAGAGGGATTGCTGCTTTCACTGTGCAGCGATCCCTCTTGCTGTTCTGGCTTCTGAGATTCAGAATATTTTTTTTCTTGTTTTCCTCCTCCAAAAACTAGGTGTGTCTTGTGGTCTGGCGCGTCTTATAGAGCGAAAAATATGGTAATTGCTTTTGGCTGGGTCAGAAGGTCTTCTTGACTCAGATCTCTCAATCCATCAATGATCATAGTCAATGAATGTTGATAAATTGGAAAGTTGTGGAAGGCTGGAATATGTATTTCACTGAGATGGGGGATAGCAAATGTGAAATAGTAACCTCTAGATAAATAATCCCTTCATTGGTCTGCAACATTCAACTTTTCCAACTTGGCAAAATGGAATGGTTAAAGCTGCAATCCTATATACACTTAGCTGGCAGTAGACTCCAGTGCTGAGAGGAAACCTAACTCCCAGAGTTAAGGTGCAGGTAGCCCCACACCCAGATGGGGAAATAGTAGGCTGAAACTCGGCATACTATATTAGTTTTGCAAAAACATGTCCCTTATTTACTTCCAAATAAGCTAAGAACCTGTTCTGACCTTCAGTACTTAGCAGTTAAGACCCTAGCTACACGTATTATTTAGGATTACAGCTCATAACAGGTCAATAAAAGTATTACTAGCACAATCATATGCATGCTTACTTGGAAGTAAGTGCAGAAACTGATAAAAGTCAGGGAGAGGGACAATCCTGCCTCATCAAAATGCCATCCAGCATGGCACACTGAAGGTTTTGATTGCTTTCTCAATAAATCATATTTTGTGCAGGTGAGGGCCCCCACAAATGAAAGAAAGTACTCAAGTCTTTGCTACATTTCTGACCCAGATACAGTGGTACCTCGGGTTAAGTACTTAATTCGTTCTGGAGGTCCATACTTAACCTGAAACTGTTCTTAACCTGAAGCACCACTTTAGCTAATGGGGCCTCCCGCTGCCGCCGCGCTGCAGGAGCACGATTTCTGTTCTCATCCTGAAGCAAAGTTCTTAACCTGAGGTAATATTTCTGGGTTAGCGGAGTCTGTAACCTGAAGCGTATGTAACCTGAGGTACCACTGTACTGTAATAGCAAACTCAGGAGGTGAGTACCAAGAGGACTGTAACCAAAGAGGGTGACTAGGAAACAAGACAAATGTGTCCTCATGCTGGATAGAACCCCAAATATTGGAGAAATATATACACATTGCCCTCTCCAAAACTGGCAGAGTGTTGGGAAACAGGGGGAAAAAATGCTTGAGAGACTAGATCAGGCCCCTGAACTGGTGGTTAGCCACCCCTGTTAAAACTTTAAACATATAGGCTTGGACTCTTGTTGATTTTCAAAATGGATTATTTATTTCATTCAGATTTTTAATTTAATTTAATTTTATTTTATTTTCTGGGAGGAGTTATCTGGGTTTGGCAGATAGAATAGAGCAGGAGTCAGTAAACTTTTTCAGCAGGGGGCCGGTCCACCGTCCCTCAGACCTTGTGGGGGGCCGGGCTATTTTTTTGGTGGGGGGGAGAGAACCAATTCCTATGCCTCACAAATAACCCAGAGATTCATTTTAAATAAAAGCATACATTCTACTCATGTAAAAACACGCTGATTCCTGGACCGCCTACGGGCCGGATTGAGAAGGCGATTGGGCCACATCCGGCCCCCAGGCCTTAGTTTGCATACCCATGGAATAGACTTAGAGGGTTCTAGTAACCCCCATTTCACTCCAGTGAAAATAATGGATCACAGAAAATAATGTAAACTCAATCCAAGGTTAAATTTATATGTAACCACTTATATAACTTTGATTTTCCAAACTGAAGAAGTGCTCATCTTGGTGCGCATATATATGGATATATCAATGTTAGTAGTCTCTACTAGTATCAACAAGATGTTAGCAATTTCACTCCTCCAATGCTGCATTATGTGACTGGTATAATTCACATGCCTGTCTGAGCAGACTGGGGGAATGGAAAACAGCCTTATCTCTCTTCCACTGTATGTACTTTGTAATGTACTTCTGCTTTTACTTCATTATAAATAGTGAATTAGACTATGATGTTTCACGCTTCTTGCTGTGTTATGCTAGATGATTAGTGTGCATCAATCAAGCTGGTTTATGTCGCTAAGCACACTGGAAGAGCGGGGAGATGCCTCTTCCAGCGTTGCGCATACCGGAGGATGTTGGGAGTTCTGGGGGTTAGCAGGCACCCCTGGGCGTTTTCCAACACATTGCACTCTGCAACTATTCTACAAATGATTTAGTATAACAATATTAAGTTTGCAAGCCTTAATGAGGAAAGTCCAAGAAAGTCCCAGTAAGGAGACCTCCTATTTCTTCCAGTTCCATCAGTTTAAAAAAACCTTTGAGATTGTAACACACACGGTTATTTTCAAGTCCTAAACAAAAGATTAAACACATTTATGAAAAACAGAATAAACATTCAAATGTGTGATTAACATTTCAAATGTTGATAAAAAGAGGTGAACGGACAGAAGACACCATGTACAATAACACCAGGTGACTTTTTTGGTACAGAGTAAGGTAACTCATTTATAAACATGAATGTGGCCCAACTCAGAACTTTTTAGTTTGAGGATAGGATGGTTACTCCGGTGTATATATATGAATGAAATGCACTATACACACATATGTCTGACATTAAGACATGATGCTTCCTCGGGTATCATTTGAAGTTATGTTGTAAACCCATGAATACATGACACATTCTTATTCTAATTATATATGCCAAAATGGAAGCATATAATGCTGGGAAAACATAACAAAAACAATGTAGGAAGGCATCTCAATCCAGACTGTCAAAGGAAAAGCTCAATGGTGGCACTTTCCAAGTACCAGCTATCAGGTGCATTTAATATGCTAAGCACATATTAGCATGGAAGGACAGATGGGGGCAGCTGTGAAGGCAAAGTGTATATATAACCCTTCAAAATAAATCACATATATACCTTTCATCCGAGCATCACAGGGCAGTTTTCAATATTAAAAAACACAAAAAGTAGTAGAAGTAGTATATAGTAGTAATGCCTTGCCAATCTGGCTGGGTAACATAGTAATAAACAAAACCCTTCCACTAGTCTGTCCCAGCTGGATCTTCTTATATGTTTCTTTTCCTATTTGTCTTTTTCAGAGTTTAGAAGCAGTGGACCAAAAGAATTTAATATTAAACAAGCCTAGCAGTGAATCACTTTTACTTCCAAATAGTATTCTCATTGATTTTGCCATCAGCATTTTTGTCTCATTTCTCATTCTGCAGCTGAAATATACCTTAAGATCAAAAGAATCATAATACACGAATAATACTTTATCTTGGATATAACCTAGGACATGGGTAGGCAAACTAAGTCCCGGGGGTCAGATCTGGCCCAATCGCCTTCTCAATCCAGCCCGTAGACGGTCCAGGAATCAGCATGTTTTTACATGAGTAGAATGTGTCCTTTTATTTAAATGCATTTCTGGGTTATCTGTGGGGCATAGGAATTCGTTCGTATACAGTGGTACCTCAGGTTAAGTACTTAATTCGTTCCGGAGGTCCGTCCTTAACCTGAAACCATTCTTAACCTGAAGCACCACTTTAGCTAATGGGGCCTCCTGCTGCTGCCGTGCAGCCAGAGCACGATATCTGTTCTCATCCTGAAGCAAAGTTCTTAACCCGAGGTAATATTTCTGGGTTAGCGGAGTCTGTAACCTGAAGCATATGTAACCCTAGGTACCACTGTATTTTTTTCAAAATATAGTCCGACACCCCCCCCACAAGGTCTGAGGGACAGTGGACCGGCCTCCTGCTGAAAAAGTTTGCTGACCCCTAAGGTAGAGTATGCAGCAGCTTTGGAAGGATCTCACCACGTCTTGTCTTTTTATCAGATATTTTCCTGTTCAAAATACAAGATGCCACTCTCTAAATGGATTTATGTCACAAATTTGAAACCACTTGGTTTTTTTAAAAAAGCTTTGATGGGGTAAATTGGTGCCTAAGGTTGGGTAGGACTTCACTGGCCATTCCTTGCCTATTAATCTTACTGGTGGAAAGCTAGCCTTTTAATACTATTTTAATAGCTTACAAGTCCTCAAGAGGGTCAGTAACTTGTACACTGAATTGGGACAAAAGTGGGTTTTTTAAAACCACACTAAAGAAGTCTATGTTATTAACAACTTTATCGTGTGAATGGCTGCTGTTAACATATCAGTGTGTCTGTTTGTTCTCAATTTCATTCCTTCCGACCTCAATGTTTATAACTCCACTCCACCCTGCCACCTTCCATATATCTGTCTGTCTGTCTATAAAATTATTCATGATAACACTTTGTGCATCTGATAAAATGGACTGGTGATGCTGGTCAGTCTAGAGAAGAACCAGCAGTTCGTGGAACCTACTTGCCCTCTGTGGGGTTCGCAGGATACAACCTTCCATGGAAAGAAAGGACAAGGGAGATAAATTGTGGGCGGAAAGGATTGCCTGCAAACAGCGCCCTATGGCTTAAAAGGGGTGGAAGGTATTTGTGTAAGAAGAATTAAAGCAGTGGGTGATATCCTCTGGAAAGGGAACTATGGGGTCACAGCTCATGCCAATTTGGGGAGGGTGGGGAAAAGGGAGAGGAAAGGGGTTATGACAAAGCATGGCAGACCCTCAAAGTGTCCCTATTTTCCAGGGATGTCCCCGATTTAGAGAAGCCATCCCAGTTTCTGATTTGATCCCGGAAAGTCCCAATTTTCCTTAGAACGTCCCTATTTTCATTGGAGAAATGTTGGAGGCTATGGAGTTATTGATCTCCAAGCCGTCTGAAGGCAATTCTGTATAGGGAAGTTTTTTTAATGTTTAGTTTTTTCATGATGTTTTATATATGTGGGAAGCTGCCCAGAGTGGCTGGGGGCAGCCCAGTAAGATGTGTGGGGTATAAATAGTAAAATGATCATTATGGAATGGGGCGTCCCTATTTTCACCAGAGAACTGTTGGCGGGTCTGGCACAGGCACTGGCTCCCTGGGCGCCCGAGCACCCACCCAATTCCCCCGAAGGGGCCGGGCACCCACAATCGCGGGGCCGAGGGGCACTCCTGCGGGGAAGGCAGCCGGACCCCGCAAATCAGGTGCAGGAGGGAGGAAGAGGAGAGTATCTCCTGCAAAGCGCGCTACGGAAGAATGTGCGGGGCTCCTGGCGGCCAGAGGGCGGCCTGCTCCCTTGGGCTGCCGGGGGGATCCGAGCACCCGCTCGCTCTCTCTCGCCTGCGCCTTTCCTGAGGGGTCGGATCCGGCGGCTGCTGCTGCTGCTTTCGAGGGGGCAGGAGCGCAGTTCCGGGATCCAGCCCCATTGGGGGCCTGGAATTCACGGCGGGGCCGACGAGGAGGCCTCCTCCTCCGCCCGCCCGCCCGCCCGCCTCCCCGGCCCCTCCGTACCTGCGGGAAGAAGCTGCCAAGGCGGCGCCGCGGCCTAGCGCCTCCCAAGCGACACGTCGCCACCATGGAGCGGCTCTCCGGGCTGCCGGCTGGGCCCAGGGCGGGCGGCGATGCGGCGGCGAGCAGAGCGGACCCGGCAAGCGCCGCCTCTCCCGCAGCCCCGGCCAGGAGCAGCAGGAGGAGGAGCCGCCGCCTCTTCCGCCCCTTCTCGGCCCAGCTGCAGCCGGCGGAGCGCCGGGCAAAAGGCCCCGGAGAGAGAGATTTCGCGGCAGGCGCATCGCCGCCCGCTTCCCTCCCTGTCAGCAAAATGCAGCCGCCGCATAGGAATAATAACCAGCATTTTACCTCAGAAATCAGCCGCCTTCGGGTCAGCGCCGCTTTCTTTCCAAACGTTTACACGTCTCGCCCTTGGCGTAGAAAAGTGCGCCCAGGCTGCTCATAGCAAAACATTCAGATCGGAAGCAAAACTAGAAAACGGCGAAGAGGGGGAAACCGCCTCAGCAAAAGAGACCCGCAGCTGCAGGAGCGCCACAAAAGCGCAGCCTACGAGTTCCTCTCCCGAATCCGACTTCGGGCTCCAGCCATGTTTCTGCAGCCGAAGGAGCCCGCTCAGCCTCCCTGCCGAGAGAGAGCCAGGCGGAGAAGGCGCAGGCCGGGGGGGGGGGCATCCTGAAGACGCCTGGATCCCGGCTTGCCAGAGACTGAAACGCCCAAATAAGAAGAACACCTTAACTGGGATAAGGAACAAATCAATGGGACTTGCTCTGGATGGGACGTTTCCCCTCCCAGCTCCCTTCCTCTCCCCATTTCATCCTCCATTCTCCGCCTCCCTATCACACCTGCAAACATTTTCATAAAGTGTAGCATCTCCCTTTCCCATTTTCTGTCTTAGAGAAAGCCAAAGCTTTCGTGCATTTACATTAATGAATTTTCAAAGTATTTTGAAATAAAATGGTAAATTATAGGTAACTGTTCTCTTGTCATAAATATTACATGGTTTTATTCCAGTTTGCGTACCTTCAAAAAACTACTCCATGTTTCAAGATGCAATATCACTTTATTGTCTTATTTACTTATGTAATAAACAGAAATTATCAGGGTAGTTTACAATAAAAGGACCCAAAAAGTTGTCTGTGAACAAACACCGGCTCTCTCGGCCAGAAGCGCGATGAGCACCGCACCCCAGAGTCACCTGGGACTGGACTTAAGGGTCCAGGTGTCCTTTACCTGCTCTGCCTCTACAGTGGGAGGCAGGAGGGCTTCTGAGAAGTCACTGGAAAATACAGGAAGGGAGAGCATTCTTGTATTTGGGTCCGCAGGTATCTGGTTGGCCACGATTAGAACAGAATGCTTGATCCAGGAGGTTCATCTTAAATGATTAAAAGCCTGGTTCTTGCCGCACCAAGCACTAAAAATAGAATGAAGTAGGTGCCAGGCCAGTCTCTCAGGGAATAAAGTTCCACAGATGCAACACGACTACAGAGAAGACCCTTGTGGAATAAATAAGGAAGAAAGAGCAAAAATGGCCAGGCCTGCCTTAAGACACCAAGGTTCTGCGAACAAAGGTTCTCAAACAGCCCAAAGGAGGGGCCCCTTCAGAGAACTTTATCTACAACCTGAGTTGTTTATATCTTTACAACCTGAGTTGTTTATGTCTTACAACTTGAGTTGCTGGAGAAACTGCAAACGAGATAAAGTAGATGTTGGACTCGACAAGCTAGAATACTCCCTAAGAGGCCCCTTTCCTTGCTAGTGTTACAATTAAGTAAAGAATGTGTTAAAAGTAGATTGTTAGCCTTGAAAGAGGGATAGATTTATAGTTTAGAGGTGACTTGAGAGAACAAGGAGAAATAGCAGGTGATAGTTTAAGAACTATTACACGTGCTTCATGAATATTATAGAACACACCCCTGTTGGAGAAACGGCTAATTTGAATGGACACAGGATGTATGTTATTGGTGGGGGTACATATTAGAGGGACATACAATGTAGGCGGATCAGGAAGCCTGTAAACTGCAATTTCTTAACCAATAGGAATTGTAGGAGGGATATTTGAATGGTTTTAGGTTATAAATTATGTGTGATGTAAGCTGAAAGACGCACTGCTCCTTTATAGCATGAGCTGAGGGGTTGCCCATGCAGTGCTATTACAACAATAAATCTGGCTATGCCTGATTGTGGTGTAGACTCCTTTTTTACACAGAGTAAATTGACACCCTCTGGGTAAAGATCCCTTGGGACAGAATTTGTCCAACAACCCTCTTCTATGTTGCCCTACTGGCTCCCAGGAATGAATGGCCAGGGCCCAGAATGGGCAAAGACTCATTCTGCTACATCATCCTTAGTTTTCCTAGAGAACATTAAAAGTGCAGGAGGGGTAAATTAGAGTTTCTTCCAGATTAAGGGAACTATTGTTGAGAGATCCTTGCTTGAAGGTCCCCCAAATTGTGGACCACCAATGTAGAGCAGGCAGCCCTTTTTAACCTGGAAGAGGGTTGGTAAAACTCATTACAGTGGTACCTCGGGTTACAGATGCTTCAGGTTACAGATGCTTCAGGTTACAAACTCTGCTAACCCAGAAATAGTACCTCAGGTTAAGAACTTTGCTTCAGAATGAGAACAGAAATCATGCAGTGGCAGTGGGAGGCCCCATTAGCTGGAGTGGTACCTCAGGTTAGGAACAGTTTCAGGTTAAGAATGGACCTCCAGAACAAATTAAGTTCTTAACCCGAGGTACCACTGTACAGGGTAGCACACTGTAGAAGTGATCTTAAGTATAAGCAGGTCATAGATTATAGCCATTTCAATCTGGTTGAAGATCCTGTTCTGGCACTGCTGGAAAGACTTTGGTTGTTTAGGTTGATGACTGGTATTAGGAGATGGATAGGAAGAGTGTGATCCTGTTTTGCTATTATCAACCTCCTGAAGAAGCTATTTAAATAAAACTCAGTTGCACATTATATTTTACTAAAATTGCCAGTTTCTCCATTAATTGGGGACATGGTCTGTCAGCTCTTGAAAATGAAAGGCTGTGTTTTGGCCTTTATGAGGTGAACTAAAACCAGCTCAGTAACAATGGGAGGGGTGGGGGTCATACAGGACTATAGTCTCTCATTGTCACAGATCACTCTGTTCAAATCACACCATCTTTGTGAATTTTCTCAAAGATTTTGTGCATTGGCAACGGAACAATTATCAGCTAAAATAATACTAAACTGTGATCTGGCATCTTCCACACCATTAATCATTTGGTTGGTCTGGAGTTGCTCCCAACCCTCACTAGTAGAGCAGTATTTTTAAAGGCTTTGGAAGGTGGGGAAATTATACCTTTTTACCAATACGTAACCATTAATAAAATCAGTTCAGTAACAGCACTGTCATAATGATGTCTACAGTGGTACCTTGGTTTGCAACCATTTTGGATTACAACCGTTTTGGATTACAATCACATCAAACCCGGAAGTGCGTGTCCCTTTTTTTGGATTACAACCCCCCTTTATTTTTGGATTATAATCCTTTTTTGGGGGGGGGAGGCCCCATTGGCGAAAGCGTGCCTTGGGTTACAATCTGTTTTGGTTTACAACGAGACCTCCGGAACGGATTATGGTTGTAAACCAAGGTACCACTGTACTTAAAAGTCCCATTAAATTCAAGGATTAAATTACAAGGTGATCCTAAGTGAGACTAAGAATACAGCCTAAGATACTAAATTATTTTGTGAATTCCCTTATTAAGGACTCTTTAAGGAAAAGTTATAAATAGAGTGTGTTTTTTTGTTAACAATAAATAAATAAACAAACAAATAAATAAATGGCTGCATATTAAAGAGTATATTTAGATATGCAAATAAACACTCTTCTAAATTCAGGTCCAGGCCATTGTATATGCTGAGTAGTCTTGTACACTTGGCTGCACCTCCCACTAATTGTGAAATAGTGGCTAATGTTATGAATTGCTTCTGAATGTGCTTAGGCTGCCTACATTGCTGTTCTGTTCTCACTTACCATCTGGCATGCCACAAACAATTTTCTTGATGAAACAGATGGCAGCAAATAAATTCATCAAAGGCCAATCAGTAAGAATGTGACTCAAGTGTGAAATAGTTGTCAGATTATTAGCTTGCAAAACTGGGCTCTTGGTATCTACATATCTCTCACCCAGGTGAACTCTTGAGTCAAAATTCCTTATTTCAAAGATATGTCAGTGACATAAATAACATGCACTGAATTAACAGTTAATAAAAGCTACTGCCCTATGTGCACATATGTGAGGAAGTAAGCTGCAGTGAAATATAATAAAATAAGCTTATTTCCAAATAAGTAAATAGATGACTACAGAAGTCACGATTAATGGCCCTAGTGTAACAGTGGCCTTTTAAAGTAGTTTTTATTGTCAATCATTTCCCCAAGCGATGCCGTAGTTCTCTTTATAATTTGAATCCAAGGTCCTGTATTCAGTTCTACATGTTATTCAAAAAGTTCTAGGAAGAGTAGTTTACTGTCCGTAGACCTTGCTTTAATTTTCAGGTTTAATTTTTTAGAACTTAAATCTTTAGCTTTTATACTTACAAAAATATAAAATATGCAGGCTGTATTTTACTTTTTTTTGTAAGAATGAAAGTGCTAGCACTTTCCAGTCTTGGAGTCAATTTCTGCAGCGAAAATACATTGGGAAAGGATGTTATCCAACAAAATCTCCCTCTGATTTCATGCATTAATCAAGAAAGGAAAGCAGGAGCATGATATTTGTACGTCCCTCACCTTTGACTTATAGCAGTCATTTTGTTCTAAATGACAATGCATGTATTATTTACCTAATTAGTGGCATAGATATTGATATTTTGTCTTGAGGACAAATTGGTGGACCCATGGCATTTCATTGTAGTGGAACCTCGACATACGTACGATTCCAGTTATGACCTTCAGCTGGTGCTTTGACTTATGAACTTTCCTCTAGATATGAACAGAGGCCTTGCCGGCAGCCCAGAGCTCACCTGGCCGGCTGTGGAGCAGTGCTGAGGCCTCTGCTGCCGGGGAGGGGGCCCCCATCCCACCCCCAAAGCTGTGGAAGAGGCGCTGCCTGCAAGAGGCACAGCAGAGCACACTGCAACCCCAAACCCTGCCGAGGAACTAACCTGAGGAAGTCCAGAGAAGAACCTGGCCTGGTGAGAAAAAAAGTGACCCTGGCCAAAGTGAATCAGCTCTTTACTGACCCTTGCCCCACCCCCAGCTTGTAGCCCACCCACCCTCCGTGCACGTAAGGGGGGGGGAAATGTTGATTTTTTTCAAATATCTTAAACACAATACAGCTTAACAATATTATTCTCTTTAAAATCTATATCTTATCCAAGTTAACTTTCCTCCACCCCTCTTCTGGCTTCTCTATATTGCTCTTACTTAAGCGTGTTTACTATATATACATTCTATAAATGTCTATAATTCCTTAATAAGTTTTTGTGTTATACTTTAAACATACAATCCTTATTATATTACAGCATTAAATCTTATGGTCTAACCAAATGTTTACAATAAACGTTATGAGTTTTATTTAAGTGTCTTTATTTATGTACAGTTTTCTCTAAGTATACTATAAATTTGGACCATTCTTTTTGGAATTTCTCATCGTTCTGCTGTCAGATTCTTCCAGTTAGGCTTGCTATTTCCGCATACTCCAATACTTTCTGTTGCCATTCTTCAATTGCCAGAATATCCTGTTGTTTCTATCTCTGTGCGAGGAGTAGTCTTCCTGCTGTTGTGGCATACAAATGTTTTATTGTGTTTTTAATATTCTGTTGGGAGCTGCCCAGAGTGGCTGGGGAAGCCCAGCCAGATGAGCAGATGACCAAACCCAAAGAGTACTAAAAAATGGTTCCTTGAAAATGAGTGATAGGTGGGGTGCCTCAAGATTCTGTCCTGGACCCATTGTTGTTCAATGTCTTTATAAATGACTTGCAT